GATGTCAGACTTTTAACATGCTTTCGGCATTGAGGTCTTTAAACTGTTGTCTACCTTCAGGGTATCTTCATTTTTCCGTTTCCATTACTTCAGTTCTATGTGCAATTTCAAGATCTTACTATTATGACAACTTCAATTTTCTTAGAAGGAGCTCTGTAGCATAATGGTTATGAATCAGGCTGCTAATATCACGGTCAGCAGTTTGAAACTACCAGATATTCCACGAGAGAAAGATGAAGCTTTCTGCTCCCATAAACATTTATAGCGTTGGAAACTCTATGCAGGGTCGTTATTAGTTGGAACTGCCTCCACAACAACAAACTATTATGAAACTGAATGAAGTACCATTTTATTCAAAGATAAAACAAAACTCAAACCAACAAATATTAGGAAGGCTTTGTTTATTTTGATCTTTTTAGAGTACTAAGTGAAGATTTTGGAAAAATGTATCCAAACGTTTGCTATGTTCAACTGCAAACTCAAATCACAACCTTATTCCCAAAGCATCCATTTTAGAATTCACAATAACCTAAAGGCAATGCTGTGAGACAGCCAAACAATACATAATTTACTTAAAATGATTCACAGCCTTAATTCATTCATGAGGAGCACAAGAAGCTCCTACAGGTTTTATATGGAGATAGAATTATTACGCCCGCTTTATGTTTTGCTCATCCCACTTCCCCTAAGTAGTGGTGCTGCACTGTAGGATAAGCACTGGATCGCAGAGTTGGTTTGAACCTCAAACCCACCAGGTGCTCCTTGGAAACCCTACACAGGGTTGCAAAGTCAGAATTGACTCCACGGTATTTAACAACATTTATCTACTCGTCTACCTCCTACCCATTTACAGCTCCATCCATACATCCCCCCATGTCTTTCTGTATGTCTGTGAAATAGCTTGCCAATGAAGGGAGTAGTGTTGGCCTGGTACTATAAGGAATGTGACAATTAAGCTGAATGAACAAAACAGAACGCACATTTGCAATGACTTAGTACATGATGATTATTTAGTTTCAGTGAGATTTCACTTTGCTTAATTTTTAGATACTTAAAGACTAGATTAAAACAAGTGAAGGAAACATAACAGTCTTAACGATATAATATTTCCCAAATAAAATTTTCATTGTTTGTAAAATATGAAATTTAACATTAAGAGTACATCATTCTATTTTAGATCTTGCTTTCCCTAATCCTACTAACATCTACTTGATTGTTTATTGGAAGTAATATCAAGAGTGAGCCAAGAGCCAGGAGAAGGCAGATCTCAATCAGAATATACTACTCAGAGTACGGGTTTAGCAGAAAGCACATGAGGTTTTCAAAGCAGAAATATTTTTATTCCTCCTAAGAAAACCTGCTTGAAGGTGATTTGCAGAGTACAAAGGGTGATAGAATCACAATAAGACCACAAGCTTAGTCTGAGTTTCATTATATAAAAGTTAACTTTGTTAACTATTAGTTTAAAAATGATAACAAATTACCTATCTATACAGATTCATATAAGTGTATGCAAATGTATTTGTCTTCATCTATTTTAGCTTATAGGAATCTCCCACTTATTTGGAAAAGAAAGTGTCTTGTGCAGGCAACAAAGTGGACGCCGTGTTCCAGAACATGTGGGATGGGAATATCTAACAGGGTAACCAATGAAAATAGCAACTGTGAAATGAGAAAAGAGAAAAGACTGTGTTACATTCAGCCTTGCGACAGTAATATATCAAAGAGAGTAAAGGTAAAGTTTAATTAGATTTAATTTAATTAGAATTCAATACTCAGAGACTCCTAAAATGTGTGTGTGCACATGTTTTGGAGGAGGTGGATAGTTTTGTGATTTTTGGTTCTTATAAAAATAAAATAATTCATTTTAAGTTTTAAAGTCAAACTATCTAAAGGGAAAGTAGTTTAATCTGTTGTGTGACTTTGGGTTGACTTATATTTGATGGGGAAAAATTTACCAAGCTGAGAGGTAATGTTAACCTGTTGATTCTAGACACTCTGACAGCTTAGTAATATGCATCTTCTCAGGCTGGTTTGTTATGGTGTCCCACTCTGCATATTGTGGAGAGTAGATCCTTTTCAGATTTTAACATCTTTTTTCTACATTAATTTTATGAAATGGGATAAAAGCAGTAAGTAAAACATTTTGACTACTACATAGAAATCAACAAAACAGTACATTATAAACAATAAAGTAAACAAGTGCTGATCTTAGTTATATATCACTAACTTGGAGGAGAAACCACACCATTTTCAGAATGTTCCTTGTTTACACAGTAACCTTGATAAAATACTCCTGAGATTGCAGCATACAAGAAGAGCAAATCCTGTTTCTAAAACTAGGCATTAATTGTCCAAACAGAGTGATTTTTAGAAATGCTACACAATCCTTCTTATCCCAAGTTCCTTCTCTATCACATTAGCAAGTTGAAAATTCAATTTTAAGAGGATTAAGATGTTTGTTTACTCATCTATGCCAAATTGTCTGAGGTATGTTAGGGAATTTGTTAAGTCTAGGAATTAAATATTTAATAGGACACTGTCCTTGATATTACACAAATTAGATAAATTTCTACCTGTTGTGAAATTGGATAAGGAGGAGATAGTAAAAACTATTGGAGAGTGAGTCCTATAATACTCCTTTGATGGAGCAAGAATAAGGAATTTCAAAGTTAGAAAAAGTGATGGAACTCACTAAATAGCAACTATTATTAACATGGTTGAAATAATTATAAGTTGTGTGTATGTGAGATAGAATGTCCTATGCTATCACTTTTCTAAACTCTTAGGATCAAATTTAAAGAATGACTTCTTAAATTTTTGTTATCTTTTAGATCCCCAAAGGAAAAACATGCCAACCCACTTTCCAACTCGCCACAGCTGAAAAATTCGTTTTTTCTGGATGCTCAAGTACTCAGAGTTACAAACCCACTTTTTGTGGAATATGCGTGGATAAGAGATGCTGCATCCCTAACAAGTCTAAAATGATTACCATTCAATTTGACTGCCCAAATGAAGGGTCATTTAAATGGAAGATGCTGTGGATCACATCTTGTGTATGTCAGAGGAATTGCAGAGACCCAGGAGATATATTTTCTGAGCTCAGGATTCCACAAAAATAAGCACATGGCCAAAAAGTTAGGGTTAATGAATTATGTCATCACACCAAAGAATTTAAGTGGTTACAAAACAGTGGCAAGTTAACTTTACTGGATAAAAAAATAACATACCCAGAAGAGTTAGTTTTTTTCAGATCACTACATTTAAGGCATCAGAAGCTTTTAAAAAGATTCTCTTAAAAATACATGAGATTTGAAAAACTAAAATCAAGCTTTTATCTAAATTATGGCCTGTCATTACATAATAACTAGAGTGATATTTGATTCCAATTATGAATTCCATACATACTGGAAAAATTATACAATTTACAAAAAGACATTTTATTTTACAAACTATATGGAATGTTTCCCATGAAGATATGTAAAGAGCACATCAAATTTGTAAGACTTTGTTAGTACTTTGACAATGTAGTCTAAGTTCCCATCAGATGATAATGATTACAGGGTGAGCAAGATTCCGGATTAATTCTTAAAGAGAGTAAGTGTAAATATATCTATAACTTTCATTGCATTTTTTACATATCAGTTTATTAATATTTCTTTCAGGAAGGAAGAAATAAAATTCTCTGTCCACTGCTAATAACTGTCATCTAAAAGGCTTTATAAAAACACAGTCAAAAAAAGAGAGCTAATTCCCATAATAAAATTGAAGCACACTATTAATACTTTAAAAAGGAAAGAAACTTTAAAAACAGAACACTTAAGCACAAAACTGATTGTTTTGGCTTGAAAAGAAATTGTTCCTAAAAATTAGCTTAATAAATAATAAATCAACCAATGAATTTAAAAGAAGTTGTGATTCAAAATAAATACATTTAAAGAGTAAAACTAGACTATAGTGATTAGAACAGTTCCTCTAGACCAGAGGTGGGGAAAGCCTAGCCTGTGGGCCATATAAAGCCCTTAAAATCATTTGGTCTGGCCCTGCTAAGGCAACTGCAATTCCAGACATCACATTTGTTACTGTTAAGTGCTGTGTTTCTAAGGAACAACTGGGTGAGTTTGACCTCACGGCCTTGTGGTTAAAACTGACTTCGTAGCCCAGTGTTTTATCTCACAGTGCCACATCAGGGGTGATGCTTGACCAAATATAGCAAGCTAATTTCTTAAGTTGATAATTTTGTATGGCCCATGAATGATGTTATACAATTTTGGCAGAAAAATGGTTCTCCATCCCTGCTCTAGACTACGACAGCTTCATTACCATGTATGGAAAAACATACCAGGCTTATTAATGTTCTATTCCCTTGTTATATATGGAGACATGCAAAATAATGATAACAAGTAGCACTATGTTTATATTTACAGACATTTAATATTACAGAATTAAGTGGTCTGACAAAAAAACTACATTTTAAAATAATTTAATAAAAATGAAATTCTTTTGAGTGCAAACAAGTTAATAAAAGAAACAAAACCTCATTCACAAGTATAACAACAATAAGTGGATATTACTTACAAATCAGGAGAATTTAAACAAGATCAAATAATAAATTATAAGTATAAAAATATATCTGTATAAGATTTTTATTAAAGACATGATTATCACTTGTATATATGCCTAAATATTAGGTATCTAAGAGTAAACTGTTGAAGAATTCTGTCCCCAATTTTGGAGAAGGGTATCTTTTCTGTAGACAACTGCTTCATAACATACGAGAGGACTGCACTAATTTCACCCACTGGTATCACCAAGATTGTGATTAAGTGGAAACCACTCATTTAGACAAAACAACAAAACCCAAAAAAACATCCTGATAATATGAGAAACAAACTGGGCTTTCGGAATCACAAAAAAAAGTTGAAATAGAGAAAGGGAAAAATGACTAAAAAATGTGAGATTAAGAAAAAAAAGAAATCAAAGTTGCTTTTTTCCCCCTTTCACATAGCTATGCTTAGTCTAGGTAAGTCTTGGACAGGCATGCCTTTTGTGACATCCAGTTGGTTATATTCTTGGATGAGTGCTGATAAAGATGACACAGCTTCAGTAAAACAGTTTTCCTCCATTCCTTCAACTTGCAGATAGTGATGCAGGTGAGCCTACAAATAAATACAAACCTAGATCAAGTTTACCATTTTAGGAAATTCAATACAGAGGAATCCTGTAAGATGAACAGTTACAAAGGGGTATTGAAAACTACCTTTTTTTTATAGAGCCTCATGAACCTCTCTCTCAGTTCCATAAAGGTGGGTTTCACACATGTGTTATTTGCTAAAGCTAAGAGTGAATGAGAATGGCCCACAGGAGGTACTGAACACAGGCTGGTCTTCCAGCCTTCTTGATTCCAGGAAACAAACTGTAGAGAAGGTTTTAATCTAAGAGAAAAATTCAAAGATAAAAATTAAGGTACTACAAATGTCTGCCATATAACAGTAGCCTACATTAGTTAAATTAGGACATTAATGATGCCATCATACTGTTTAGTTTATAATGTAAATCAGCTATTTCTTACTACTACCCACTGCCATGGAGTTGATTTAGACTGAGAGCAACCCCACATGTGGTTTACAAGGATGTGAATCTTTATGGGATCAGACAGCCATATTTGAATAGTGAGTTTGAATGCCAACCTGAACCCAAGGCTACACCCACAGCGTAATCAGAACTCCTTCTTACTTACGGTTCTGACTGATAGCGACCCTGATACACGGTTTCCAAGGAGTGACTGGTGTGTTTGAACCACTAACTTTGTAGTTAGCAGTCCAGTGTTTACCCTACAGTGCCACACCAAGATTTCTGACTATTAGCTGTATCAAAATTAGTTCAGAGAACAGTCTCACAGTGATCTAAGGAACATTTAGTAGGAAGATAATAAAGTTGGCTGTGATGGTGTTTAAAATAGAAACACACCCATCAGAATTAGAAATCTGGAGATAAAAAAGACAAAAACCCATTATAATTTTCCTTACTTTGCAAGTGACATAAATTTAGAAGTAGGGACTCTGGTGGTGCAGTGGATTAAGCACTGGGCTGCCAATCACAAGATCAGAGGTTCATACCTACCAGCCACTCTGTGGTAGAAAGATGAGGCTGTCTGCTCCCCTTAAGGTTTATAGTCTAGGAAACCCTACGGAGCAGATCTGTTCTGCCCTAGAAGGCTAGGAGTTGGGAATGACTCATGGGCAATGGGTTAGAGTGATTTTGATTTGGTTTTTTTGTATGGCTGAGTCAAAGGTAGGAACAATAACAGTACAGCGGGTACTGGTAGTAGTAATAAAAGTTAACACCAGAAGGAGCTCAAATAGCAAAATCAGATAAAACTTTGAACAAGTTCAGTAATTAAGATTTCCCATATATCATTTGGACTACTGGTGTGGTGCTGTAGGATAAGCACTGGACTACGGACCTCTAGGTCATCAGTTCAAACATGCAAGCTGGTCCTTGGGAACTCTATACAGGGTTGCTATGAATTGGAACTGATTCGAAGGCACTTAACAATAAATATCATTTGAATCCTGGTGTGGTGCTGTTACAGGATAAACACTGGACTAGTAAATGCAAGGTCAGCAGTCCAAACCCATCAACTCAATGGGTTAAAAATGAAACTTTCTGCTCCTGAAAGATTTATAGTATTAGAAACCCTGTATCACTTAATCAACATCAACAATGTACTATTATTATCTGTGTTTTATATTTAAGAAGAATTAGTCAGAGAAGCTAAGTAGCTTGCTCAAGGTCACACCTCAGTAAGTGACAGTGCTAGAATCTGAAGACAGACTGTCTTTACTCTGCTACACTGACACAAACAATGCACATAATTTTGAAAAATATGAAATCAAACCTTTCAATATTTCTGCGAAGATCCGAAACCTGAACATTTCCTCTTACCATTAAGGCACAAGCGAGGTAGAGATTATGTTTGGGGTCGGCCTGAATTAACTGATGATCTTTGCTAAAAGCATCTGTGAACATCTGATCCAATCTAGAAAAATGAGAGAAGCTTATTTATACAAATATGTAAAATACTCATCTACTGGTAAATAAACCACATACATATATATATGCCTAGTCTTGTCTATAATTTTCTCAGTGTAATCTTGGTGAACATAAGCATGAGGAGAGGAAATCATACAATATCTTTTTTTTTTTTAAAAAAAGAAATGCTCCTGCAGTATGTTGGTGAATTCTGATAGCTAAAATTCTTAAGAGTAGCATAGCCTCAGAAACCCTATACAGCAGGGGTGGGGAACCTGTTTTTCTGCCAAGGGCCATCTGGATATTTATAATATCATTCACAGGCCATACATTATTATCAACTTAAAAATTAGCCTGCTAAATTTGGTCAAACATTTAATTAAGTGGTGCTATCAGTTAATGCGCCAGACTGCAAAGTCAGTTTGAACTATAAGGTCAGTGGTTCAAGCTCACCAGCCGATCCTCAGAAACCCTTTACAGGGTCGCTGTGGGTCAGAACCAACTCGATGGCATGTAACTATATATGGTCTGTGGGTCGGACATTCTCCACCCCTGCTCTAAAAGTTTGGTAGGACCTTTTCCCTCTATCAACAATGAATGCTACTGTGAACTTTTCAAACTCATCATTTTTGTATATGAGTGTACTTCAAAACTACATTTTTTGTCAAGTAAACTGATTTAAGTTTTATGCTTAAAAATTGACATATACAAAAAACGAGGTGATCTGTGAAAGATATATAATAGCTGTCATATATAGGAATATCTGAAAGTCAGTATAGTTAGTGCTGGCGATGTGATAAAACATTTTAAACATAACTCTTACTTGATGTACATAACAAGTATTAAAAGGCAAGCACTCTGAATCTTATTTTTAGAGAACAGAAAACTAAAGTGCAAAATGTAAGTCACCCGTCCAACACCCTACAAGCAGTAACTGACCAAATTGTGATTCAGACTCAAATCTGTCTGACTTTTAGCTTCTTCATTAAAAATTCGATCTATTCATTTTCATAAGCCAGAAAGTGTAGTCATTAGACTTAATTTTCGATAGTTCAATACTGGCATCTTAAAGCAAGGGCCTCTTACTTAAAAGCATTCATCTAATAGAAAATGACTGTAATGTTATATATTTCTCACAAATGTATAAAATTAAGGTGTATGAAGAAATAACTACAGTGATCTAAATCTTTTCCTCTTAAAAAATGTCTTTTTAAAGTAATTCAGTTATCAAGAGACTGGAATAAAGAGATTACATCTTACCTTCGAGGGGGAATGTTAACATCTGCCAGAGTATAAAGAGGTGTTAGGCTTGACACAAGGTAATGAAGTTGGGGAAAAGGAACTAAATTCATGCTGATTTCATTAAGGTCCATATTAAGAGATCCTTCAAACCTTGCAGAGCTAAAAAATTAACATGAAAACAATAAGAAAGATTTTAATTTTAAAATGATATACTTCAAATGTAGCTCGATATATTCTGCGCTTTTCTTAAATCCTTCTGTACACTGTTCTGTATTGTAGAATATATGCTTTCTTTTTCTTTTTGGCTGTACTAGTGACATTTGATATCATGAACAATCATACATATAACATGCACTGTTGTGTGCTGTTAGATCAATTTTGACTCACAGTGATCCTCTATGTTAGAGGAGAACTGCCCCGTGAAGGTTTCCAAGTCTGCAGTCTTTACAGGAGCCGATTCCCAGGCCTTTCCTCCTGTGGAGTGGGTGGTGGATTCCAACCACCAACTTTATAGGTGCTATCAGACCCTTTACGGTAACTGCAGCAATACTTACTTTTGGATCAACTGAAGTATAACCAACACACTATTAGTTGCTTACTACACATCCCAGATGAGGCTTTCTGCTCCTGTAAAGATTTACAGCCTCAGAAACTCTGTACAGGGTTGCTATGAGTCAGAACCGACTCCACGGCACATAACAACAACATATCCAAAGGAGTCCTGCTGTGGTGCAGCAGGATAAGCACTGTACTGCTAACCACAAAATGGTGGTTCATACATATCAGCTGCTCTGTGGAAACCCTATATAGGGTTGCTATGAGTTGGAACTGACTTAACAGCACTCAACAACCCATCTAAATATATATTTTAAACTGTTTATATTTAGTTAAACGCATATACTGGTAATAATTCCAACTTCTGTGGCTCTCATGTGTTACAGAGTAGAACTGTACTCCATATAACACATGGCTGTGATACTTTGGAAGCAGACTGCCTGACCTTTCTTTCAAGGTGCCTTTGGTGGGTATGAACTGCCAACCTTTCAGTTACTAGAAGAGTACTTAATCATTTGTTCCCCTAGAGAGTGCATTAAATATGTTATTGCTTTAAAGTAGGGCTGTTGAGTTAGTTCAGACTCATAGTGACCCTGTATAGGGTCTCCAAGGAGCAGCTGGTATATCTGAGCCACCAAACTTGCAGTTCAAAGCGGCCTTGTGGTTTAGTGCCTCTCCTGCAGTGCCATACCAGGACTCCTCATTAAACATATATAGGTCAGTACTAAATAATCCTACAAACTTCCCTCAATTTCTCAAGGGTCTGCTAAATACACTCTGGGATCTTTAATATAATAATGCCAAAGTAATCATTTAGGCCAAAACCAAGGATATCTTTTAGGCTACCTAACCATGAAATATAAGATTAACTAATGTAAAAGATAAAGATATTCTACAGCCAATAATAATAATAATAATAATAATAATAATAATAATAATAATAATTGTATCTAATCAAGTGTTTCTCAAACTTATCTACCATAAAATCTTTTATCATCTAACATCTATCAATATTCTATGGAATGTACTTTGGTAAATACTGCTTTCTAAAATTTCTATGATTGATTATGCATCACTCCAAGATATTTAAAAAAAAGTAAAGTAAAAACAGAAGAAGCTGCTTAAACTTAGAATAACTAGGCAGAAAAACAGCACAAAAAAAAGCACAGTGAAATGTATAAACTGTCTGTAGGTATGCCATGAATAGATTACCTTGTGAGGTTGAGGAGCAAATTTGCCACAATGTTGTTCATTGCATCAAAGGGCTTCTGGTGCTTTTTTAAAGCCCTGGCACTTGAAGTAACCAGACTCCTTGGTTTCACAGTTTTACCCAACTTTCCAGAATTCACCATGATGTCAATTTTGCTAATGATGTCAAATAAAGACTTTTGAAGAAAAATATTGAGAGAAAAACTATTAAAAAGAGTGGACACAGATGACATTGTGTTAGGTAGGAGAGAGAAGAAAGAAAAACAATTTAAACTTTTCCTCTACAATGGGAAGGCTGAATAGTAAATGTTTCAAAAAAGAAACACATGACCATAACACAGGATGTGCGGTCTAGGGGTCAGGGTCATGTCTTACTTGGTTGTCAATGGGCAACACGCAGTCCGCATGCTCATTAAGTTCCTTCACTGCCAAGATGGTATTATAAGGTGAGGTTATGACATCATCCTCACCAGAAGGACAAACCGAAGTCACAAATCTGTATACTTCAGGGAATTCATCCTCAAGCATTTTTAAAAGAAACGTGCCAAGTCCTGATCCTGTGCCTGAGGATAAAAACATCAGAAAGAAAAAAGCATAAATGATGCAGAATATAATTATGAGGCAACTGTTTCGGTATTTTGATTTTATATTTTTAGAAATAAGTGTTAGTCTTAATTTACCAATTTCTCCTGTATATTTATTAACCCATCTAACTTCCAAGAAGGAAAGAAAGCAGCATGGGAACCAACCCACATCTGTTGCCACAGAGTGTCTGTGACTCACAGTAGCCCCTATAGGACACAGTGGAACTCCCCAGGGTTTCCAAGCTTGGAAATCTTTACAAAGCAGACGGCCACATCTTTCAATAGCACAACAGCTCATAGGTTTGAATTGATGACCTTCTTGCTTTAACCACTGTGTCACCATGACTCCCTACAACATGGTTGGTACACTGGAACACTAGGTTTCTGAGGCTATAAATCTTTATAGGAGCAGAGTGACTGGTACATTCGAACTCCTGACTGGACAGCAGCCCAACATGTAACCCACTATGCTACCAGGGCTCCTTACAACATGGGATGTTGTTAAGTGCCATTGAATCGGTGTCGACTCAGAGCAACCCAGTATAGGGTTTCCTAGGAATGGCTGGTGAGTTTGAACTGCCGACCTTGTGGTTATTCTATGGCAACACACCAAGTAGTGAGACTTAAAGAATTTAATTCCAATTTTAACTCTGACCATGATGTTGAGTGGGCTTTCTACATGTCACTCTTCTTCACATTTAAGTTATACACATATATGAGGGGACTTAAAAAAAATTCATGGAAAAACTCCAGGATCTTTTCATTCATTCCGTTTTTCCATAAACTTTTTGAAGCCCTATCGTAAACATTCAAACCCAACCAGCTGCTCCTCAGAAACCCTATACAGGGTTGCTATGAGTCAGAACAGACTTGATGCCACTTGACAATAATGCATACATATCTGTATATATACATAAACACACACATTCTATCAAAAGTAATGATTAAAGAATGAAAAGTTCAGGTAATATAATATTTAGCCTTTACTTGATATTAAAGCAATTCTAAAATAAAAACCTGTTATATATATACATACATAAAAATACACTTTTAATAGTTCTATTTCTGTCAAGTCTAGGTCTGAACACAAAACTTACAAAATGAATTCCCACTCAACTCTAACACTGTTACAGGCACACAGTGACTAGCTTTACCTCCTCCCATGGAATGGATTATGAAGAAACACTGTAAACAATCACACTGCTCTGCTGCTTTTCTGAGTTTCTCCAAAATTTGTTCTTGGTAAAGGCTGCCAAAAACTTTGTGACCTACAGCCCTGCAAAGAATACAGACTAAAATTAAAATTACTGCAGTTTTATATGTATTTTATAATTTCTGAATTATATGGCTGTAGAAAAATTCAAGTATTTTTATTGGACTAAATATATTTAATAGTTTCATGTCTGTAAGTCATATTATAACATTCTAAAGTCATGAGGTAGAAAATGTATCAAATATTATATCCTCAAATAAGAATCCCTGGTGGTACAGAAGGCTAAGCAATGGTCTACTAACTGCAAAGTCATTGGTTCAAACTCATCACTTGCTCTATTCCATAAAACTCTGCAGTCTTGGAAACCCTATGGAGCAATTCTGTCTAAAGGGTTGCTATGAGTGAATACTTACTGGATGGGAGTGGGTTTAATGCTCCAAATTATCTTGGTAATACAGGTCATTATCAGCAGATATTAAATGAGGATTTTCTAAATTTATACTCTCTTTTCTCTTGTGATATAATCACAACAGAACTGATTTCAGTTACATACAGATATGTCTCTTCCATTTAAAATGAACTTGGCAGTGGTTTTACATATTAAAGATCAGAATATAGGCAATTAGAAAGAAAATCCTAACAGAAGCTTTCTAATGTGACTTAAGTATTAGAAAACCCTGGTCTCAGTATTGCTAAATAAAATGGCACACAGTAGATAATGAATATTTATAGGGAGTATCTCTGCAAGCCTCCGTTGGTGCTCAAATTTTCAGGTATTGCTTACTATAAGAATGTTTTTGCCACAAAATGCAATCAGGTGAAACTCAAAAATTACATAGTAATTTCCAGCTCATGACCCTGCGGCGCTACACCAGGACTCCTTTATGTAAATTGGGGAGGAGCAGTTCCTGGTGTGGCACTGTGGGTTAATGCACTGGACTGCAAAGTCAGTTTGAACCACAAGGTTGGTGGTTCAAGCTCACCAGCTCCTCCTCGGAAACCCTACAATAGAGTTGCTATGGGTTGGAACCAACTCGATGGTACTTCACAACAGCAAATATGGAAACAGTGAGAATGGTTGCACAGCTTGAATCCATTATCACTGAATTGACATGAAGAAATTGTTGCCTTGGTATATGTTCTGTTGTAGAGATTCTTCAACAACAAATAAAGTATTAAAAAATAAAGCTAAACCTGGAGAATATTATACTGAGTGAAATTAGTCAGTTGCAGAGATGGACACTGTAAAAAGTCAAGAAAAGGTTTTCATGCCATAATAAACACTCTATAAAGGTTACCGAGGGGTGTGACGGAAAGGAGATTTATTCATTGGCTAGTGGTGATACAGGGTAAGACCTGGACCACAAAGTGTAGATTTGAACCTCAAGGATGGTGGTTCACACTCACCAGCCACTCCTTGGAAACCTTTACAAGGTCACTATGAGTCAGAAGCAAGTGGACGGCACTTTACAACAACAACAGAGTGTAGACTGACATGTGCCAACCTGGGTGACAGGAAAAGCTGTTGGAAAAAAAAAAAGGAAAAAATTTTTTTTTCCCATGTGTTTGAAGGGAAACAATGTACATTTATTTTCTCATTAGGACAAACCACTGGGAATGTTCCTTAAAAAAAGGAAAAAAAAGGAAAAAAAATAAGAGGGTAAACAAGATTTGGAAACGGACAGTTGTAATAGGTGTGCAACATGAGAAGTGCACCTGGTTTGGCCGGATTGTGCATGGAAACCTAGTTGAAATGGCAAATTGTTTTGTTTTGTTGTATATATGTTGTTGTTAAGTGCCACTGAGTTGGCTCTGACCCACAGCGACCCTATATAGGGTTTCTGAGGAGCAGCTGGTGAGTTTGGACTTCCGACCTTGTGGTCGAGTGCTTACTCTACGGTGGTATACCAGGATTCAAAAAATATATAAAAAGTAAAGCTACATAGTAAATTATTCAACAACTAAAGCCAAAAGAACACAGCATTTGGCGATAAAGTTAGCTCACTTATTCAGCACTATATATCAAGGAGCTCTGGTAGCGTAGTGGTTACGAATCAGGCTATGATCCGCAAGGTCAGCAGTTCGAAACTACCAGTGGTTCCGCGGGAGAAAGATGAGGCGTTCTACTCCCGTAAAGATTTACAGCCTTGGAAACCCTGTGCAGGGTCACTATGAGTCAGAACCGACCCCACAGTATTTAACAACAACAACAACAATATATCATAAGCCTAAGAGACTGGCTGAAAATAGCTAAAATATGAATTTAAGATTTGCAAATAAACAAGTAGTGGTTACAAGTTGGGCTGTTAACCTCAAAGTCAGCAGTTTGAACCTATCAGCCATTCTGAGGGAGAAAGATGAAGCTTTCTGCTCCCATAAAGATTTACAAGAAAGGGAAGGAATCTTCACATCAAGTATCAATGCTATACCCTCTGCACACAGGGTAGATAGGGATGGGCAACTTAGACATTGGCTACCTAAAATGAGGGGGCGATAAAGGCACAAAGTGACTGGCTTACAAGGTTTCAAGGGGGAACTCAGTTTAATAGTGTGTGGGGGAAGAAAGAGCCCCCACTGAATAGTTTTCATCCTGTCTAGATGGGTCTGGTTAAAAGTGATGGGGATAAAAGTCTTATGATTCAATAGTGAACAACTGTTATCATGACCAATTGCGACTGTCATAATTGTAAAGGTAGAAGGTTTTTTTTAACAAAAATGGGGGAGTAGTTAATCTTACAGTCCAGAAACAACTCTAGGACCGTCAAGGGAGAAAAGCACAAGTGGAATGCGAGACCTTATCCAGAGAAGCAGCAGCACCAGAGATGGAAGCAGAGATGGGGACATGGAGAGAGGGAGCAGCTGAGGACTCTAGATTCATGGGAAGAGAGGGACTAAGAGATGGCAGCCAGGAGGCAGACTTGCAGAATGTGCCCTTTGGTGGCGTAAACTATTATAATACGCCTGAGTGTTTTTTTTTTTTTTAAAAAAAGAGCTAAAGTGAATAGAGAGAAATACTGTTAACTGATGGTACATGGAGGGGATTATAATCATTGTAATGAAACGAAGTGTATGATTTGTTGAATGTAAAATTGATGATCTGCCCTGTAAACTTTCACTCAATCCACAATAAAAACCTTAAAAAAAAAAAGATTTACAGCCAATGATTATATATTCTGGAGTGTTTTTGTATTCATCAAACAACAGAAACAAAAAACAGAGAAACACAGGTAATAGAAGGAAATGCTGTTGAATGATAATGCATGGAAGGGATTGTAATCATTGCAATGAAATGAAATACGACAGGATGAGTACAAAACTGATGTTCTCCCATGTAAACTATCATTCAATTCACAATAAAAGCTTAAAAAAAAAAAGTTAATAGAGTTAAATTATGTTAACTAATGGTACATGGAGGGTATTGCAGTCACTGTAATCAAGCAAAATATGATTTGCTGAATGTAAAACTGATGACCTGCACTGTAAACTTCCATATAATATACAATAAAAAAGTTTTTAAAAATGAAAAAAAGATTTACAGCCTTGGAAACCCCATGGAGGGTCACTATGAGTCAGAACTGACTCAACAGCATATAACCACCAACCACTAGATTAAAAAAAAAAAATCAAATACAGTTTCAATGGCGTTGACACTGCAAGGTCAGTTTGAATGGCAAAGTCAGCAGTTCAAACTCACCAGCCACTCCTCTGAAACCCTATATAGGGTCGCTGAGTTGGAACCAACTCGATGACATGTAACAACTTAACAAAGTTTCAATACAGCATCTTAGATGATCACTTATGATTTTCTTCCAGTAATGAGAAACTATTATATATACTGTTGTTGTTGTTGTTAAGTGCCGTGGAATCAGTTCCAACTCAGTGACTCTGTATAGGGTTTCCTAGGTGTTAAATCTTTGTTGGAACAGAAAGCCTCATCTTTCTCTTGTGGAGTGGCTGGTGGGCTCAAACAGTGGACCTTGTGGTTCGCAGTCAAGCGCTTATTGTATGGAGCCACCGTGCTCCCAGTATATATGTTGTGGAGTCAGTTCTGCCTCATAGTAACCCTTTATAGGGTTTCTGAGGAGTGGCTGGTGGGTTTGAACTGCCACCCTGTGGTTCAAATCGACATTGCAGCCTAGTGTTTATCCTACATCTCCCCATCTGGGCTCCCATTATACATGAGGGAGCTTCAAAATGTTCAAGGAAAAATTCTATTATCTTTTTTTTTTTTTCCTATTATTTTTTAATTCCATTTATCCACAAACTTTCTAAAGCCCCCCTGTATTTAAGAGCCAAACATAGCCCTAAAGCTAACTAAGAATCCTGGGATACTTTGGCTTGTGCCTCTGGGTCATATTAAATTTGGCTGACTGGAGAAATTATGAGTCAAATAATATTCTTAAGTATAACGATTGTCAGTAGCTAGTATCATGCAAGAATCAATCTAAAAGAGGAAACTGGAGAATAAGTAAATTTTTTCTCGATATGGCTGGCTCAGAAGCACTGTGAAACACCATGTTTTCTGTGAGGCAATACTTTTACAGTAACAATGATGGGCTGCGAGACCTTGACTTATGTGTGGTAACCGACACCTTGCTTTCATGTCATCAGGACCTATTAAAAAGAAGGCAAGTTAAAATTTTATTTTTCTGGTTGAAATTCAATTTTCATATTCAGTATAATCTCACCAGTTATTCCCTGAGCCAGAAATATCAGTGATAAGCTGCTTGCTATCAAATACTTCTCTCAATGGGCCCTGCAGAATTTCATTCACTACTCCTTCCTCCATGTCAATCAAGACAGCCTGAGAAAGAATGAAAAATTTCATCAGCTTATTTTCCTTTACAATTTGTCATTAATTGTAAGTGAAAAGAATCTGAGTTAAATCTCTAAGGAGAATTTTTTCTAAGAATTTCACTCTGTTGGGAAGGTGGGATCCAAATAAGAGCTGGATTTTATATACTTTGATCTACTCAAAATGTCCAATGGGAAAGAAAAGGGTCAGAATAATCTCTTCAACTAAATTTCTATTTATCTTTTTATCTGTAAGTATGTGTGAATATAAATTTCTTGAGAACAAGGCTTAACAGAACAAATTCCTAATAAATGCAACATGCATCGATGGATTTATTCACTAGGAACAACCATACTGTTTTCTGAGTCACAGCCCCAAAATGCCCAATTAAAATCAGCAAACTTACTATTATGAGCAAGGCCAACACACTGGACAGACTCAATGATGACAACAGAGCCCACTCTTCCAACTAACCTCACAATTTAGTTTCTAACCAAAACTTTACATCCTATACTACTAAGGGGAAAATGAGAAATTAATACATAATTAACTATGGAAAGAGAAGTAATCACAGAAAACAAGGTGGAAAGAAGTATGATAGGATAGATGCAGGAAAAACTTGTTAGCAGGATTATGTCCTTTGTACTTTTTACTTTCCTTATTTTCTATCACAAGAAAGAAAAGTGAAAATGTAAAACAAACAGCAAAGCTTAAAAAGGATTCTGAAATAATCTTAAAACCAGGTGCCATAGAGTTGATTTCGACTCATGGTGACCCCATTTATGTCAGAGTAAATATGTGCTCCATAAGGTTTTCAATGGCTGAGTTTTCAGAAGTGGATAACCAGTTCTTTGTTTCAAAGAACCTTTTGGTGGACTTGAACCTCCAACCTTTTTGTTAGTAGCTGAGCTGCATTAACTGTTTGTAGTATTCAGGTACTTCTGAAATAGCCTTAAGATATAATATGAAGCTATTTGTTAACTCCTTGAGTCACAGAGAGGTGCTTGGTTTAAGGATGTTTATAGTCCTTGTGACTACACAAATTTTAAGCATTTTCAGCATGCCACTGTTGTAAGTGCTTTATACATATTATCCAATTCAATCTTTACAATTCTATGTAATGGTACCATAATCAACTCCAATATACAGATGAGGACAGTGAGGTCTGTTGTTAGGTGCTGTTGAGCCAGTTCTGACTTATAGTGACCCTAGGTTTGAGCACATTGTGGCCGACACTGTGTCAGTCTATCTCATTGAGGGTCTTCCTCTTTATCACTGACTCTCTAATTCACCAAACATGATGTCCTTCTCCCAGGATTGGCCCTTCCTGATAATATTCGCTAGTTATCTGAGACACTGAACAAAGGAGAGAGTCAGGCACCAAGTTATCTTGTGTAGGTAGTGGTGACAAGAGCCATACAAGAGAGAAGGTAGAAGGGTACTTTCTAGGACAAAAGTCAAAGGCTATAAGAATAAGCTGAGTTCGCTTGTTTCCTAATAATGCTCATTCCACCTTCTCCCATGCTCACTTACATGGGAGTAGGAAAGAGCCCAAATTCGAAGTGGTCTAGAAAATGTGAAAGTCTTTTTTCTCTCTTTGGTTGGAATTGGGATGTTAGCTTCTTCCTGAGGCATGGTATATACTAAGTGTCAATCAATTCTTCTAAGATCCTACAAGTCACATGGTCTCTGGGCCAGATTTTGTTTTCAGTGACAGCACAGTTCACAGATACAAAGACATGGTCCCCGGTGCCACAGCACTACTGCCCTTTACTCTTTCAGCCACTGTACTTGTTTTGATTGTTATCCTCTTAATGACTTCCAGAGTTTTTACACTTTTCTTTTCATTATAATAAAAAATTACTGATCAGCAACTGGAAAAGGCAGTTCGTTGTGAGAAATAATCACAGAAATGTTGGAAGGTGAGTAATTTAATATTGTAAATATGGGGTACTGCCTCTGGAAGTACTTTGGCTCAGAACTTAAACGGTAACATTTACTTATCATAATGAGGCTGGAGCCAGGCATTGTATGGGGAGTCATTACCTTGCTGCAAATAAAAACCTTCCATTCTATTTCAATGACAACTTACCCTACATTAATATTTTAGATTCTTAAGAAGGCTCCATTTGTTAACATCTATCTAGACATATATTTCCCCTCAACATTTAAGAAACACATTAAGTATATTATTTGTATTTGAATCACTTACCTGCAGTTTGGGGTGGGCACAGAAACCCAGTTGGTTGACTGCATGTTACATAGCCACCGCCATCTCAACATAACTTTATATTAAATGTGGCTTAGTAAATTGTTTTTTTTTTTTTTTAATTTGAGAAGTTAAATTTTATTCTCAAGATAGTTATAGCAATATTGTTATTTTAAAAACACATGCAATGTAAGAATCCAAATGTATTATCTTACTCGTGCTTTTAAAGAACAAATTTTTCCCTTGGAAATACTGCCACCATCACCAACCACTCTGAAAGACAAAAAAAAAACAAGTTTTAAGATCTTCCATGGTTAAAAGTATTAACAGGTAACAGTTAACTTCCATTTAGTCATTCCTGACTTCCTCATTTGCCTACTTCCCGTTAGGTTGAAAGGGAGGTACTTATTTTCCCTATCTTCCTTTGCAATTAGATCTAACAATGTTATCCAGTTCTAGGCCATGACATAAAGAAGACACATGCTGGGAAACTTCTCTGGTAAAAAGGACCAGATGCAGTTGGAGCACACCTTCTCCTGTTTTCCTGCTTTGAACACAAATATGGATGTAATAAATAAACCAATTTCTTGTAACTCAAAAGTAATAAACACAATGATGAAAAGCCAGTATGTGTCCTGGTGTGGCACTATGGGTTAATGCACTACATTGCAAAGTAGGTTTGAACCACAAGGTCAGCGGTTCACGCTCACCAGTCACTCCTCGAAAACCCTATATAGGTTCATTAAGCAGCTCTGGTAGTGTAGTGGTTACGAATTGGGCGGCTAATCTCACAGTCAGCAGCTCAAATCTACCAGGTGTTCCATGGGAGAAAGATGAGGCTTTCTGCTCCTGTAAAGATTTACAGCCTTGGAAACACTGTACAGGGTCGCTATGAGTTGGAACTGACTCCACAGCACATAGTAACAACACAGGTAGGAACTGACTAGATGGTATTTAACAACATGTCAAATATGCTGGAACAACAGATAGTATCTGGGTCTCTGAGGTCCTCTTCTAAGCCTAGAGTGTTCTACTTTCAGATTTGTTGTGCGTTAACTAGATGTCTTTATTGCTTAAGCCACCATTAGTCAAGTATTCTTTAGTAGCCAAACACACATCTGCTGGTTATATACCATTGAGTCTCTAAGGCTATTCTGCTGATTTCCTGTTGAGAAGTTACCTAAGTAGCTAAATCTATGATCAAACATAGGTCAATATAGTTCATAAACCACAGGTGACATAAGCACAGAGGATGCTATGGGTAAGAAGCCCTACTCAGACTGAGGGTCAAGCATTGGGCCACTAAATGCAAGATCAGAGGTTCGAACTCACCATCTGTTCTTAGGGTTGTTTGCTCCCATAAAGATATAGTTTTGGAAACCCTATATAGATAGGGTCTCTATGAGTCGAAAGTGACCTGATAGTAGTGGGCTTGGTTTTCATGCTATGGGTGAGGGGTTGGAAAATTGATTCTTGGGTCACCTTTCTTCATATATAGTTTTACACAGCTAAGTGTATTTGTTTATTACCTATACTGTATTCATACTATATAATGGTAGAGTTGAGTAGCTACAACACAGACTTTATGGACTGCAAAGCCTGAAATATTTACTATCTAGTCCTTACAGAAAAGGTTTGTAAGCATCTGCTACAGGTAAATTCCTTCATGCTATGAAAAATATACTAAAATTTTCTCAAAAAGACACATATGTGTACATAATATGGTCTCATATATTTGAAAAAGAATATTCATACTCCTTTTTGGAATAGATGCAGTATGTGTTGTCAATACATGAAAAGACAGCAGGCTGCATACTTTCTCCTGGTCTTCCTAAACTTATATTGGGGAAACATGACCAAATATAGTAGATGTAAGTACAGTATGTAAATTCATCTTATTCAAAGAAAATGCCTGCAGGCTGAACTTCAACTATGTAATACTCAATGAAGAGTGAGTTACTTTCCAGAATGGAAGGGTTTGGGTAGGCATGTAGTTTAGCAAGGGAAGAACCTGAAAGTATTACAAAAGCAAATCTGAGTAGCATGTCTCTTAATAGCTTTTGGGGGAGATGGTCTGGCTTACAATCATGAAGGAATCTAGTCTATGACAGACAGCTCTCTAATATAGATGACATTAGTCATAAAATCTAATTTCTTAGTGTAATTCCAAAATCACTAAGCAACAATCTGAGTATTACGTAGCTTTCCAGGCAGATCTCCCATAGAAGAGAATGTACCTATGTAGAAAAACGCATTCTGTTTTTCAGTTATAGTTTTACTGTCAATTAGTAACTTTAATCTCTCATTCTTTCAGAGTTTGGCTAATCTGATTGTACCAAAGAGCAATGAACCCCTTGTTATGCTGCTAACAATAAGATTTCTGAGTTTGCAATCCTGAAAGTCATACTTTGCAATTCACCAAAGAGGTAGGGACTAATTGGCCGTCTCTAGGAAATAACTAAGGAGCTCTGGTAGTGTAGTGGTTACGCACTGGGCTGTGAACCTTAAGGTCAGCAGTTCGAAACTACCAGCTGTTCTGCGGGAGAAAGATGAGGCTTTCTGATCCCGTAAAGGTTTACAGTCTCAGAAATCCTGTACAGGATTCGCTATGAGACGGAACCAACTCCATGGTACATAACTACCACCAGGAAATAATTGCCTCAAAGAAATACCTAGCCAACTAATTAAAAACAAATTGAAAATTTTATTACACTAACTTAACACCAGTTATTAAGTATGTATATTAACCTAACACTTAGTTTTATGAAGTACTCAGAAAATCCATATAATATTAACTTATCAGATTTTGGAGTCCTGGTGTGGCGTTGTGTGCTAATGTGCTGGATGGCAAAGTCAGTTTGAACCACAAGGTCAGCAGTTCAAGCTCACCAGTTGCTCCTTGGAAACCCTACACAGGGTCGCTATGGAACTGACTCAACGGCACCTAGCAACAACAAATCAGATTTTAGCCAATCAAGTGTTTAAGTGGAATGCCCAGTTATTATTGAGCATGAGTCACTTCCAAGTTTAAAAAAAAAAAGGAGGCTGTCCCAATTTTCCTCCCTATGCCTTTACCCTCTCCTTCAATGGTGTGGTTGATGGAATCTAGCATACCAAGTAGTCAGAATTCCTTATTACAGTAAATGCTTGACCACATTATCAATAGTGAAAAAACCCCCAGAAAATTGATATTAATATTCTCTCAGAATCAGTGCTTGTCCCCCCTTTGTTTTGACTGTAGCAAGGTGGGAAGGGAAATAGGATAAAATTCAACAGTATCTTTACTCAAAATCTGAGTTTAAAAAATTATTTAAAAGAAAAACAATCTACTTTAATCCCCCTCCCCCATGGATTTAATGATTAAATAATAAAAACTTCAGAAAAACCCTGAAAGTTAGTTTAAAATGTTTCAAATAAAAGGTACAGGATACTTACATATAAAGAAACTTTAAAAAAAGTTTGTGGAAAATGGAATTAAAAGATAATGGAATTTTTCCATGAACTTTTTAAAGCCCCTTTGTATTCTTAATTGCTGTTGTTGTTAAGTGCTGCAGAGTTGGTTCCGACTCAATCTGTTTAGGGTTTCTAAAGAGCGACTGACAACTTTGAACTGCTGACCTTATGATTCAAACAGATCTTGTACTCCAGTGCTTATCCTACAGTGCCATACCTTGACAAATGCCTTTCTCCTTTCTAGCACATTCATACATTCATATTCATATTCTGGGCCATAAATATCAAAGAAAAGTAAATGATAAGATTTTTCCTTCAAAAGTTTACTATTGATGGATGCCTTAACAAAATATCCTTAAGTGAAAAATTTCAGTATTTTATTGTAAAGTTAAAAGACGTTAAGCTAAAAGAAGTCATGCTAAGGGTTTTGCTTAATATGGCTTCAACAGAAAAACTATTGTCCAGTTCTACAGAATATGCTTTCGTGATTAAGAAAAATGAACCCCAAATTAGACAATTTCTTCACAGTTACCAACTGTTTTTATTTCCCTTCATATCCAAAGACTGTTCTCCCAGCCTGTTGATAAGCTAAGTTCATCATTCTCTCTTACGGACTTTAATCTCTTACCTGGTATCCACATTTCTAAAGAAGCTGCTTATAGCTTCATCATAGATTCCTTTCTAAAAAGAGAAAAAAAAGTATTTATAGCATTTGATAAAATCATTTTGATAATTCCACAGTATATGAGGATATGTAATATCCCACTTGTAATTTTAACATCCCATTTGTAATGGCTTTGTTGAGAGCCTGCTAACCTAAAGGCTGGCAGTTGGAATCTACCCAGTGGCAGAGCTGGGAAGCCCCGGCAATCTGTTTCTATCAACAGTACAGTCAAGAAAACCCTATGGCCAGCTCTAGTCTATAACAACATAGGCGTTGCCATGAGTAGGAATCTACTTGACAGCAATGGATTGGGTTTTTAAACAATGTTTTTTAATGGTTTTGTTGCTGTTAGCGGTCATCCAATCAGCAGGACTCATGGCAACCCCACGTACAATAGGATCAGACCATCGTGATTAAGTATTTTCTTTGGCTGCTTTTTGGAAGTAGATCCCCAGGCTCTTCTGTCTAGTCTGTGTTAGTCTGAAAGCACTGCTGAAACCTGTTCAGCATCCACTGACAGGTGGATGGTGGCTACTTGTGAGGTGCACTGGCTGGTACTGACCCTGGGTCTCCTGCATGCAAGAAAAGAATCCAATCGTTGAACCACCTTTGGTGGTGTGATAAGCAAAAGCATATGTCACAAGACACTTAGCCTGATTCTTCCAGTCAGCTTATAGAGAATAAATGCTTTGAGATTTCAGAATTAAGTTTAGCTTCTTCTCGTTGTTACCTGCCATGGAATCAGTTTCGACTCATAGTAACGCCATAGAGGGTTTCTGAGGCTTTAAATCTTTGTGGAAGCAGAAAGCCTCATCTTTTTCCCACTGAGTGGATGGTGGCCGTGAACTGCAGACCTTGTGGTATGCAGTCCATTGCTTAAAGCGCTTCCTTAAGTACAGCAGAAGGTGTTAAAGAAAAGGATTCCCTGTAGGGTAGTACAGCAGGTGCATCAAATGAGTTTTCTTCAAATTCTTGGTAATCAGTTTAAAAATGGATAGTTAAATTGTAGGATATGTTACCTGTTTTATAAAGTACTTCATTTACACCACCTTACGGATCTTCACAAGAGTCCTGGTAAAGGCGGAGGGCCCTGAGAATTAAACTATTAGAACCTCCTAATACACAGCACTGGAAGATCAGCACTGGAATGCTAACCGCAATGTCGGCAGTTCAAACCCATCAGCCACTCCTCGAAAACCCTATATGTGTCGGAACCGACTTCACGGCACTAACAAACTACATTAGAACCAAGGTCCCCGGCCTGTGTTCAGTCTGTGTCTATCGGCATTATCTTCTTTACAGTGAAGATCCCATACAATCTATATCGATCAGATAAAAGCTCAAGTGGTGGTGGTTATGTGCCGTCGAGTCGGTTCCGACTCATAGTGACCCTGTACAGGCTATAAATCTTTATGGAAGCAGAAAACCTCATCTTTCTCCCGCGGAACAGCTGGTAGTTTCGAACTGCTGACCATGAGATTAGCAGCCCGATTCTAACCACTACGCTGCCAGAGCTCCTGAAAAGCTAAAGTATAACTTGTATTTCTTTGTTGAAGGAGCCCTGATGACAAGCAGGCAGTGGAGAAGCCTCCTGGTACCTTGTTGACGGCGGCATGCTCTCTCAGCGCCAGGTCCCAGAAACAGCAGCCGATCTGGTTCCCGCACTGTCCGACTACGACCAAGAGAGGAAGGAGAGAAAATAGACATGAGGCGGGAAACCAGGCCTCTCGGCTGAAAGGCGCCCAGGTCCCCACGTCCAGACGAAACTTACCCTGTATGACCACCGACTGGGTCATGCTGCGGAGCTGTGTGCCTGGGCTGCCGAGGGGACCGCGCCAGCATTCGCATATCCCTCCGCCCACCAACGGTGTTCTCCGAGGGGTCGGGAAGCCGTAAATCACGCCGCTGCCGCAAGTCACTACCGTCGTCAAGTGCCTTTCTAGGCTCAAACTAAGACTTTATTTACTCCGGAAGGCCGTGCGAGTGTTCTTGCGTCTCACCGTTACCATAGCAACTGGACACCATGACAGCAGATCTTAGTTGCCTTGTCAACAACACCTTTGAGCTTTGGCGGCTTGGGAAGCCAGGTTAACTGGCGGGGCATCTGAAGGCAGTGGGAGTTTACAATATGCATCTTTAAAACTCTCCATAAACTATCAGAGGGTTGTTGTTGTTGTTAAGTCCTGTCGAGTCGGTTTCGACCCATAGGGACCCTGTATAGGGTTTCCGAGGCTGTAAATCTTTACGGGAGCAGAAAGCCTCATCTTTCTCCCATGGAGCGTCTGGTAGTTTCAAACTGCTGACCTTAAGGTTCGAAGCCCGATTCGTAACCACTACGTTACTTAGTCTTTATTTATATCAACACTCTGGGCGGTAGGTCAAATTCCATTTATTCTAATTCTGTGAGACACTACGTTAACATCTCCTTCAAGTGAGCCCTCTGTTTAAATAGAAAACAAGCTGTGCTTAGGAGAGCAAAGAAACCCCAGACAAATAGACATGTCAGGACACAACCAAAACGGTGGCTAGACAAAAATGGACAAAGCTAAGACCCCCAGCTAGTATTTGTTGAAAGCTGTGTGCTCAGCGTACAGTAAATTCATTTGCTGACGAAAAAGAAATTAGGACACAGATCCAGCTACAAATCTAATTGAAGACACCAAAGAAGTACTCCGAAATAGTGGTTTATAATACTGTGGTGCTTATTAGTGCAATAACTATCAGTAGACAAGAATGTGGCCGAGATGGAATTAAAATTAAGCATTTGATAGTGTTTAGATGGAAGAGGAGAGAAGATTTAAGAGTCAGTCATTCCTGAAAATTACCAAATGCTTAAAATTGTCAAGCCGTAAAAAAACTAAACTTTTTTTTTTTTTTGTCAATTTCTACCAGATTTCAATGAACAACTCAAAGTGCTCCGTTACAGCAATAGTTTCCACAAAAAATTGAGGAACTAAAAACTTTAAGAAGCTCGTCTCTATCTAAAAAAAATCGGTAAAATTTTATGTACTAGTAATGTATAACAAGATGAACTGTGATCTTTGACTGACTAGAACACCTTATTCTACCACAAAGATAAATAATATTTATTGTATTTCTCTGATAGCACATAAGCTTGGAGTTGCAATGGATTGTTTATGGTGCTAAGGTTTCCTCACATTTCCATTTAGATGTTTCTCACCTTAGTACTTATGTCTCTTGTGATTAACAATACATTTTTACAATTACAAAATTTAATCTTAACTGCTTATTGATGAGCATGAAGTTAGCGGTTGATGCTGGGGCATCCAAAATTTGCAAAGGTTGGTCCAGTTTGTAAGCAGTGATGAATTGTTTCATTGAGTTATGATACTAGTACATGTGGCATTCTGGCCTTTGCAGAGCTCTGCTAACATAGTGGTTAGGAGTCAGGCTGCTAATCTTCAGGTCAGCAGTTCAAAACTACCAGCCGTTCCACAGGAGAAAGATGAGGCCTTCTGCTCCTGTAAAGATTTACAGCCTTGGCAACCCTATACAGGGTAACTGTGGGTTGGAACTAACTCGATAGCACTTAACAACAACAACAACAAACATGTTCCCTTAACTAAGAAGGTCTTTCATTTGCTGTCCAGTAATATATTTAAGTAAGTCAAGACTTTGATCAGATTTAGCGTTGTTGTTGTTGTTGTTGTTGTTGTTGTTAAGTGCATTGAATTGGTTCCGACCCATAATGACCCTGTATAGAGTTCCTGAGAAGCAACTGTTGAGTTTGAACTGCCAATCTTGTGGTTCAAACTGACTTTGCAGTCCAGCGCATTAACCCACAGTGCCATACCAGGCTAATAATAAGGCATTAAGTTTTGAGCTACTGCAGAGAAATAATTCCATTAAAGAAAAAAGTTTGTGATTTTTAAAGATCAAAAACTCCTTGTTCTGTCCTTGAATTCTATTGGAACCATACTGAGAATGTCTGTGAGGATTTTAAAGGTTTTGGAAGCTCTGATTTCTGAACTGTGTTTAGCAGTAAGTGAAAACAACAAACTTGTTGTTGTTAAGTGCTGTCGAGTTGGTGCCCATGCATAGTAATCCTGTATAGGGTTTCCAATGAGCAGCTGGTGAGTTTGAACTACTAACCTTGCAGTTCAAACCTAACATGTGGTCCAGCACATTATCCCACAGCACCAGATATCAAATAGTCTGCCTTGCTACCTGGAGGACTTTAGCATATTTTGCATATTAAAATTGGAATGGAATATTTTGAATCTATGGATTTTATTTTTTGATTCTTATTTTACAAATTCTTTTTCTGCTGAAAATAAGCTGTTGCCGATAGAGAAAACAAGACGTCTGGTAACTACACTTTGATATTGAGATAAAGATAGGGCATTTAGGAAAGAAAACCTATTGTGTTAGGTATTGGCAAGTCAGTGTTTTCATTCAAATAATTATACCATAAGATATGTAATGGTACCATTACTAACTATGACCAGCAATTATCTCAGTTTGTCTGACTACGATGTTGTTGTTGTTGTTAAGTGCCTTTGAGTCAGTTCTGACCCATAGTGACCCTGTACCATCCATTAAATGGTTTCTTTATGTTAAAACTGTGTTCAGCATAGTCATAGATAACACTCTAGTAAGGGAAAAGAAGGTAGTGGTAAGACATTTTGTAATATCAATATAATTCTTAGCAAAATGCCAATTTTATATAATGTAAATCATATGAAAACTGAAGAGTGTGAATTTAACATAAAATGTAATACAGATTTTTATTACGCCTAACAAAGGCTAACTAGTATTACCTGGGGTGGTGCTGTAGGATAAGTACTGGGCCACAAGATCAGTGGTTCAAACCCATCAGTCACTCCTTGGAAACACTATGCAGGGTGGCTATCAGTTGGAACTGACTCAATGACACGTAACAACAGCAATGGCATTAGTTTAGTAATCATCTATACACATGGAACAAAAATGGTTAACTAAAGATTAAAGTCATGGCTTCAGGTTTAAATTTATTATTGAGTTACACAGGCATTCAGTGAGGACAGTTGTTACTATACCCAATGCTATTGAATAGATTCCTACTCAACAGGACCCTGTATAGAGTTTCTGACACTGTAACTATTTATGGGACCAGACAGCTTCATCTTTCTCCTGTGGAGTGTTGGTGGATTTGAACTGCCAATCTTGTGATTAGTAGTCCAATGCTTATATGACAGTACCACCAGAGCTTCTTTAGCTTTTAACATAGAAGCTAACTACCAGTTCAGAAAGGAAGGGCAAACAGAGACATGAAAAGATGAGCAGAGAGAAGCTCAGGATCCAATATATTTTATAATTCACCCTTTTTCAATTGGTTTATTTCTACCATATGGGAAATTTAAGGTCTTTTGAGGAAACAGAAAAGAAGTAGTTCAAGCAGTAGAGATAGTATGAAGAACTATCCCAGGTAAGAAGAGCTATAGAGAAATTTGTAGAGGTGATTTTTGAGGGCACATAAATAATGTGAGGAAGAAGATAGATTGGATCAATTGGGGGTGTTAGTTGATGGAAAGTCTAGAAGATAATGAGAATGAGGAAGTGGGAAGTAAAGTGAGAAGATTAGCAAGTGTTATTTTGTTAAAATTGATTAGACTGTACATCTATTGTGTTTTGTGCTGTTAGGTGCTACCAAGTTGAGTTTTTGACTCATAGTAACTCAATGTGACAGAGTAGAACTTCCCCACAGGGTTTCTAGACTATAATCTTTATGGGAGAAATTTACCAGGTCTTTCTTTTGAAGAGCTGCTGGGTGAGTTTTGAACTCCCAACTTTTAGGTTAGCAGCTTAGCGTTTAACCATTGTGCAACTAACGCTCTTTAGGTCCATGCGAGATAAAAATTATTTATAGATTAGAATAGTAGAATATTGTAGGAGGACACATTCAAGAAGCTAGTGGCAACAAGAATAAAACCCTTGTTGTTGTTGTTAGGTTGAGTTGGTACTGAGTTGGTAACATTGAGTTGGTACTGACTCATAGCGACCCTATGCACAACAGAACGAAACACTGCCCAGTCTTGGGCCAGTCTCACAATCGTTGCCACTCTTGAGCCCATCGATGCTGCCACTTTGCCAATCCATCTCGCTGGGGGTCTTCCTTCTTTTCTCTGACCCTCCACCTTACCAAACATGATATCCTTCTCCAGTGACTGACCCCTCCTGACAATATGTCCAAGTATAAGAGACGAAGTTTGGCCATCCTGGTCTCCAAGGAGCACTTCGGCTACACTTCTTCCAACACAGATCTGTTGGTTCTTTTGGCAGCCCATGACACTTTCAATATTCTCCTCCAACACCATAACTTGAAAGCATCAATTCTTCTATGGTCTTCCTTATTCACTGTCCAGCTTTCACATGCATGTGAGGTTATTAAAAATACCATGGCTTGGGTCAGGCGCACCTTAGTCTTCAAGTTGACATCTTTGCTCTTCAACACTTTAAAAGGTCTTGTGCAGCAGATTTACCTACTGAAATGTGTCATTTGATTTCTTGACTGCTGCTTCCATGAATGTTGATAGTTGATCCAAGAAGAATGAAGTCCTTGACAACTTCAATCTTTTCTCTGTTGATAACAATGTTGTTTATTGATCCAGTGGTGAGGATTTTTGTCTTCTTTACATTGAGAAACAATCCGTACCAAAGGCTGTGTCCTTTGATCTTCATCAGTAAGTATTTTAAGTCCTTTTCACGTTCAACAAGCAAAGTTGTATCATCTGCATATTGTAGGTTGTTAATGAGTCTTCCTCCAATCCTGATGCCACGTTTTTCTTCATATAACCCAGCTTCTTGGATTATTTGCTCAGCATACAGGTTGAATAAGTATGGTGAAAGAATACAACCCTGTCATACACTTTTCTTAATTTTAAACCATTCAGTGTTCTCATGTTCTGTTTGAACAACTGCCTCTTGGTCCAGGTACAGATTCCTCATGAGCACAATTAAGTGTTCCGGAACACTCATACTTCTCAATGTTGTCCATAGCTTGTCATGATCCACACAATCGAAAGCCTTTGCATAGTCAATAAAGCACAGGTAAACATCTTTCTGGTATTCTCTGCTTTCAGCCAAGATCCATCGGACAGCAGCAATGATATCCCTCATTCCATGTCCTTGAACCAACCTCAGAACAAAACAAAAAAACCCAGTTGCTGTTGAATTGATTCCTAATTTTTAGATAAATTTCAGCTTTTGCTGAGGCTACGAATTGAGAGATTTGATTCCTTAGCAGGTGGGAAACGATGTGAATGAATATAATTTCTGAGTGTCACTGGAATATTTGATCATCATTCCATTGGCAATTCAAGCTTCTATGGAAGTTCAGTAGAAGCAGCTTATTTATTCATCTCTACAGGAATCAGACTTGGCCTATTAAGTCTATGTATCTTTGATTAAGTTATAACCTATTGCCTACATGACAGACATATATTTCACTATGGTTTTTGTAAATTTTCATTAAGTATAACAACCACCAATAAATATTTACTTATTAGGCATAGATTGCTGTATTAGGCATAAGAAACAGGCATAAAACACTTTTTTTCTGTCCTTTTTTGGGATAGTAGTTGAAAACATGTAAACTTATTCAAGCTACAGTTAGTAAGCACCCACTATGTCCCAGACACTGGTCTAAGTATTAGAAATTATGTGGCAACAAAAACAGACATGCAATAAGAGGGAGGAACGCATATTAGACAAACATTTTATATATAATTAGAGAAAGTGTCATCCAGGGGCATTTTGCTTTTGCTCCCCATGGGACCTTTGGCAATGTCTAGAGACATTTTTAAACTATTGTAACTTGGGGTGTGTATGCTACTGGCATCTAGTGTTCAGAGGTCATAGATGCTGCTAAACATACCACCAAATACATAGGACAGCCTATAAAAAGAATGACCAGTCCAAATGTTAATAGTACTGAGATTGGGAAACCCTGAATTAAAGTGAAAAATTACAAAGCAGAAAGAAAATGTGCTCTGAGAACTAAGGTAATAGGGTTATAGAAGGCTTCTCAGAGAAAGTGAATGTAAATTCAAACTTAATGGATTAGTTGATTCTAGCTAGGGAAAGCTGTGAGCAGTGGGAAGGTGGGGCTGTCCAAGGAGATGTATATGTGGGGAATTCAAAAAGTGTGTAGTAACATTATCTTTTGGATCCATTTTTCCACAAACTTTTTGAAGTCCCTGTGTGTGTGTAGATCTGCTCCACAGGGTCTTGAAGTCTATAATCTGTATGAAAACAGACCATCACATCTTTCTCCCAGGGATGGTTTGTAAATTTGATCTACTGCCCTTTTGACTGGCTTTGAGTACTTCAACTACTGTACCACCAGAGCTTCATACATAGGTGCACACACAGACGTACCCTCACACACCCATGTGTGTATATTAGTGTTAACTAATGCTAAGTAAATAATCTGCTGAGTAATTATACGAGTTAACACTTATTGAACTCTTACTGTGTTACACACTGTACATGTATTTAATCTTCACCATTTACCTGGAAGTTAATACTATTATACCAAATTTACCCTTAAGAAACCTCAAGTACCTTGCCTATCATCACATTGTTAGGAAGGGTCAGAATTTGGATTTGAACTCAGGTCAGTCTACCTCTCCCAATGCCTCTCCTAATTATAGCACTATAAGTGCCATAGAGAGGTGGGGCTGAGGGTGAGGATTGAATAAACATTGGGGATGGAAGGATTAGCTGAAGATTTCATGGTGAGCATATGTGGAACTCCAACTGTATTTCACCGTTTTGAATTTGTTGCAAGACTTAAAATTGTATGTAAGGAACAGTTGTGTAATATACTAATTTCACACTTTTATAGAATGTTTTCATTTGCCTGTAACATTCAAAATAGTAAATTAAAAATTATCAAGAACTGTTTAAAGATAACGTTCACACCTTTTAGTTTTCTAATCGACGTCTTCAATGAATTATGCCTTTTCGGTTTGGGACCCAGCCAAGGAGGTTTCCAATGGAAGGAGGAGATTCTTCAGTGGTACTGGAACCTGGGCTGAGCTCTAGTGCTACGTGTAACAGGAAAGAGACTTCACCTATCAGGTGAAGCCCTGTTATCCTACAGTTGAGAAAATGTGCAATGACTATCATCAATTCAATCCTTACCTGATGTTCATTACTGACAAGGAAAGAAAAGATAGGAATTTAAAATATTGCTGTTCTAAATTAATATTAAAAGATAACAAGTTCTCTTAGCAGAGTTTGTATTTTGTACCCTTGTTAGTCTTCAGATGATAGATCAATTTTTGTTAAAAAATATGTAACATAATAGTGGACATTTAAGCCATTTTAAGTGTACAATTCAGTGGTATTAATTACATTCACAATGTAGTGCAAGGTTCACCATTACCTTTATTTCCAAAACTTTTCTGTCACCCAAACCATAACTGTAAAAATTTCTATTCTTAATACCTCTTTCCTAGTCCCTGGTAACCTCTAATCTATTTTCTCTCTATGTATTTGCCTATTTTAGATATTTTATGTAAGTGGAGTCATACAAAACTTGTTCTTAAAAATTAGCATAATATTTTTAAGGTTCATCCATGCCATTGCATATATTAGAGCATCCTTTTCTCTATGGCTGAACAACATTCCAGTGTATGTATGTACCATGTTCTATCCATTCATCTATTGATGAACACTTGAGTTGTTTCCACCTTTTGGCAATTGTGAATAATGCTGCTTTATACATTGATAACACTTGCTAAGTCTGCCGCTACTTTCAATTTTTTGATATATACCCAATGAACTCAAAAGCAAAAGTTGAAAGAATCAAATGGATTCAAAAAACTCCCTCAAAATTTAAAGAACTACAACCAAATCAAGCACCAAAAGTATAAAATTCACAATGTACATGATAAAATAAAAAATTACCAGGTATGCAAAGCAAAAAGAAAATTAAAATTTATAGTCCAGAGAATCATCAGTCAGTAGAATCAAACCCAGGAATAATAGCAGACAAGGTATTAGAAAATATATGTCAAGAGGGGGTGTGTGTATGGTGACTCTGGAGGATAAGCACTGGACTGCGAACCACAAGATTTGTGGTTCTAGCCCACCAGTCCCTCCTTGGGAGAAAGATGAGGCTTTCTGCTCCCAAAAAGATTTATAGTCTCTGAAACCCTACACAGGGTTGCTATGATTAAGAATCAACTTGATGGCACTTAACAACACATCTGTGCAATAAGTAGATGAGCACATGATCATGGTGAGAGAAAGGGAAAGGATAAAGAAGATCCAGATTGAATTTCTAGAGATGAAAAAAAAACAAAACCCTGCAAAAAAATAATTCATAGGATTAAGAGCTAATTAGCTAATTAGAGAAAAAAAAAAAGATTAATGAGCTTGAAGACATAGCTATTAAAATCATCCAAAATGGAACACAAGCAGACTGGAGGAAAAAAATCTTAGCATAAATTTTGTGTTTCAGTGTCCCACAATCTAACATATACCTTAAGTGGATTCCTAGGAGAGGAGTCCTGGTGCTGTGGGTTAATGTGCTGGACTGCAAAGTCAGTTTGATCCGTAAGGTGAGCAGTTCAAGCTCACAAGTTGCTTCTTGGAAACCTTATATAGGACTGCTATGGGACGGAACTGACTTGACGGTGACTTAACAACAATCCCAAGAGACGGAGGAGAGAAGGATACAGAAAACCATTGGAAGAAACAATAGTCCAACAGTTACTGCAAACTCATGAAATAATGACAGCTATACCAACCTCAAGGAGAAGAAATATGAAGAAAAACAATAAACAAATGTCAGTTAAATTGTCCAAAACCTAAAGAAAAAAATCCTAAAAACCGACAAAGCAGAAACCAAAACCCACATTCATTCATAGGAACGAAATTAAGAATGATAACATACTTTTTTTTTTATCAGAAACCAAGCAGTCAAGAAGACAAGAGAACAATATCCTTATAAAAAATGAAGATGAAATAAGAACTTTAAATACGGCAGAACTAGTGCTATGGGAAGATTATAAGCATGTCTTAGGGCAACCCTGTGACATCATGCTTTCATAACCTTCCTCCAGATTGAATAGATAAGCGATCAGCACTTTTTAGACAGGATCACTTGAAAACCACACATTCTTTTGAGGATGCTGATTTAGGTCCCTGCTGGTAAGCTCACTATGATGTGGCTGGGCTGCTTCAAGACTCCATCTTAAGCAGCCACCAGCATTAAACTTTTGGGGAGTTCCTTGAGGGATTTCACCAAGTCTTCTGGCTGTGTTCCTCTGACACATGCTTGTCTCTGACCCATGCATGTCTCTGACCCATGTGTTAGCCAGTGATCTCAGGCTTCCACCAGCTCACCAATCCTCTGCCCATCCCGTCCTGCCCCCTCTGTTAATGGCACGCTCTAGTGTGACTTTTATAAACTGAGTAGCTTTTTCTGTGATAGTCCACCTTCTGTCCTACTTCTCAGGATTGAAAGGTTGCCAGAGACTCGAGGGGGAATTCCTCTTGCCTCCCTGATGGGCTGTTTTTCCCAGTGTTTTTCTCACCCCTTCAGAAAAGTCAGAGGTTCCTGGGGCTGAGTAAAACCCAAATGGAAAAATAAAATTTAAAAGTTCCTCAGGATCCCAGGAACATGACAGTTGATTGTCCTGGGACCCATTTTCCCATTTTGGGAAAAGAAAGTAGTGGAGCTTCCATGATAGAGAGGTGAGGGCAGGGGATAACCTTTATGGAAACTCTGCTTGCCCAAATTTGTTCAATTTTTTTTTTTTTTTTGAGGATATGCCAGATGTGGTCTAGGCTCTTTGACTACAACTTTGAATAACACAGACAAAAATCTGTGGAGCTAGCATTCTGGACAGTGCTTCCTTTTGTGTCTTTCTAGTCTCTTGCATATACTGTGTGTGTGAACATTTTTGGTGAACATTGGAGTGTTACTGTGCTGGTTGTGTTGAAATGACTTAGCCAGTACTAAGGGAGAAGGAATCAGACCCACACTTTAGAGTCTGGTGTTGTAGCTATTGCTGTATGTTTCCAGCTATAAGCAGCAGTCACCAATTTAATGAAACAGGGAAAGACCATACTTGACACCTTATGTTACCATCACATACATGTATGAAAACGAGGCCAAGAGAACAAACATACTGTAGTGTCTCTGAGATGATTCCCTTTCAACTCTTTGGGCTAATGCCTGATGTGCTTCTTACTGGGTCAAGAAGCCGGTGAACGTAACATCCTGGGTCTGTAGAATGGAATATGCCAAGATAATCTTACCAGAATTTTCTTTCTTTTAATGCATGTCTATCAATGTGTGCATAGTTGTTGTTGGGATCCCTGGAGACTCTTCTGACTCATAATGAGTCTGTGTGACAAAGTAGAATTGCCCCCTAGGGTTTTCTTGACTGTAATCTCTAAGGAAGCAGATTGCCAAGTCTTTCTGCTGCAGTGCTGCTTGGTGGGTTCAAAACACCAACCTTTCAATTAGCAACCAAGCACTTAAGTAGGTCCACCTGGGCTCCTTAATGTGCATGGTTGTTGTTGTGTGCCATGGAGTTGATTCCAACTCATGGTGACCACCCCATAATTCTGTATGGCTCCTTCTCCATTTGAGTTGAGTGGTGGAGAGGGGCAAGTGGATTCCCTCTGTGTAAAGTCTACCTTATGTCTGACTCTGTTGAATGTTATTGGGGGAAGACTGTCTGGGCAGTTGCCTTTATTTCCAGAAAAATATCAAGGGCTACCCCAGATCCTAAATCTCAGAAGACTGTCTATTGTGAGTCAAAGGCTCCCAAGGCCCTGGCTGCGGCTGGTACAAGTAGACCTTTCCTCTGGAGGGGAGTTCTGCTATCCCAGCTAGGGCATATTTTTGATATATATAAATTCTTCCTTTTAATGAAGTGATTCATTTATCCTCTGATAATTCCTTGGAGATTTTTATCCATTAACTCACTTCCCCACCACCCAATTATTTCTTTTGGAGTGCTGTTGTGGTACTGTAGGATGGATAAGCACTGGATTGCTAATTGCAAGGTTAATGGTTCAAACCCACCAGCTGTTCCTCAGAAACGCTGCACAGGGTCACTATGAGTTGAAACTGACTCAACAGCACTTAACAACAATGATTTCTTTTAGTTACTCTCAATCCTGCTGAGAAGTCCTGGTGTGGTGCTGCGGGTTAATGCGCTGGACTAGGAAGTCAGTTTGAGCCACAAGGTTGGTGGTTCAAGCTGACCTGCTGATCCTAGGAAACCATATATATATATAGGGTCGCTATGGGTCTGAACTGACTTGACAGCACTTAACAATAACAATCCTGATGAAATCAGGGCTCATTTTCTCTCATTCTGTCTTCAATGTTGATTATCTTTTTATGTGTAATTATTTCAGCTTCTGTATTTTAATAGTTTGCCAACTATTCAAGCCTATTATACTTTTTCTAGACTTCATTAAAATAGATACTTAAAAATTATAAAATTTTAGAAATAAGACTAGTATTATAGGTATATGGGGGAGGGAATGTTTTAATAAAAATACTTCTATACTTCTAAATTGAATTTTATGACTTTGTCCCCCATTCCTTGTTGTATTGTCCTCAAAGATTTCTATAGAACATAAAATAATATAAATATGCTACAGGAACCTCTACCTACCCTTTGGAAAATTTTACTGTTAAAAGAAAATAAACAAGAAAGGAAAAAAAAGTAGTTACTTATCTAGGGAAAATGAAATTACACTATCATCTTTCTAATAGTTAGAAATTTCTTTTACTTTAATAACTGCTATAAATCTAAGACATTCTTGTTATACTAATAGGCCAAAGAGAAGAAAGCAAGGAGGTGCTAAACAAAACTATCTTCAATTTTAGTTATTATGTAAATTAGAAAATATTGTCAAGATGAAAGGCAGCTTAGGGCAAGGATATTTTGGCATAGATTGAAAGTTATCTTCCTGGAAAAAAAAAATGAATCTGAGACTCTAGCCACACTTCAAAAAGCATGTGCCGTGTTTATTTAGAATCCCTTCTATTTTATTAGAAACAGGAACAGTATATTTCACCAGCAGGAAGTAAGCAATCTCTTAATACAAATACGTTTAACACTCCTTTGATTGTTGTCCATTGAAGACATTTTGGATCCAAGGCAAGAACTGAAATGAAAAATTATAAACATCTAGTCCCTGATGCTTCATTTAAGTAATGCTCAACTAGTTGAAAGCTTCCACCAGGAGGCAGATTTGCGGCTCCTCCTGGCTGATTTTGTGTTTATTTCAGTGCTCTAAAGAACTGTATCCCTGGGCAAGTCTGGTCCACTGCATTAGGCTGTGGGACAAGAGTTGATGCTCACGGCGCCACTGACCAGGGCTGCTTTACTGAAGCTCACTGAATGCCCATCAATCACAAAGTGACGAATGCAGCCTGTGAAGGGCTTGCTGGGGGCCAAGCGTGGTGTCAGTAGAGACTCTGAAAAGAGAGATGAAAAGAAAAAAGGCATGTTGAATACTTTGACTCCAGATACTGCTATGTGGTAAAAATATACATAATCATTGCTGGCATCATCAAGATTAGTTACACGTAAAAAATGGCATGTATTTATAATTTACACATTTCTCAGAAACATTTTTTGCTTTTGAGGCAATATGAACATGTGGGAATTTGAATGTTTTTCCTTGTTTTCCATGATCAAATGTCTCTGTACATATAATTCAGTTGTCCTCTGAGGTGAGATTTACCACGTCCATGTAAACAGCAGTGAATTTTCATGGTTTCACCTATGCTTTGGGCAGTGGTGGTTCAATGGTAGAATTCTTGTACCCTCCCTGTGGTAGAGTCACAGGGAGTCCTGGTGTGGCACTGTAGGAGCAGCACTGGACCGCTAGATTGGCTATTCAAACCCACTGGCTGCTACTCGGAAACCGCATACAGGTCCACTATGAATCAGATGGCACTTAATAACAACCAAAACAATATGGCAGACATGGATTGAGATCCCAGCCAATTCTCCTGCACAGCCACCACCTGCCTGTCAGTGGAGGTTTGTGTGTTTGCTGCTCTGTTGCTGAACAGGTTTCAGTGGCATTTCCAGGGTAGTAAGACAGACTAAGAAGAAAGATCTGGCAATCTACTTTTGAAAATTAATTGGTGAAGACCCTGTGGATCAACATGTTCTGATGCACAGCTGATCACGGGGATGGTACAGGAGTGGATAGTGTTTTGTTGCCATGTTTTGGGGACTAACTCCATGGCAGGTAAAAGAACCAACAACAACTATTGGTTTTTTTTGGATTAATTTCACTTAGGTCTCACTTATTTCCTGTGTTTTGCTGAAAAGAAATGAAATCCTAGTTTCCACGCTATTTTTGAATTTGGTTAATTTTTCTACTTAATTCATGTCATTACTCTTCATCGTCAAGCTTCCACATGATTGCTAAGCTCATAAGACGTAATGAGAAAATAATGAATTCAAATAGATGAAATTTTAATTTTTCTGAGTGAAGGGTTTAAGTACTATAAATAGGGTAGTGATAACTAGCTAATTTTTGTGTGGGCACAGGTGCCCTGAGGTTTGCCAAGGGAACTTTCTCTTCTAATCTTAATTAGATATCTAGAAGAAGCCTTATGCTTATTAATTATATAAGCACAATGAAATGTATTGGGATGATAGACGCAATATAATTTAAAGCAGGTTGGAGAGCTTAGGAATATCGTAAAATTAAAATCCATTTAGTCAAAGCTTATAATTATGTACAAACAGCTCTGTGAGCAGTAGCAAATACAAGCTGGAAACCATTAGAATTCAGTAACTCCAGAAGGAACCTAAAACAGGACAGTAAACATCATGAAGCCACTGTAATAATCTTTCTAAGCAATGTCAATTAAGAATATGCAGACATTTTATACTAAATATAAATCATGGAAATGGGATTTCATATTTAGAAGAAAATTTTAAATTTGGAAGGGGCCTGAGAGATCATTTTCGTTTATTTGGCTGTAGATAAGGAGATGACATAGGTTCTTCAAGCCAGCTCAGTTGTGCTGCATAAAACATTGAGTGGACCAGAAGGATTATAAGGCATTATTGCTATTGGGTATCATCTAGTTGATTCCTGTTTGACAGAGTAGAACTGCCCCCCTAGGGTTTCCTAGGCTGTTATCTTCACAGGAACTATCCGCCAGGTCTTTTCTCCTGTGGAGCACTTAGTGGGTTTGGATTGTCACCTGTTTGCCTAGCAGTTGGTTCTTGTTGACAGATGCCAGGGAGTTGTTTTTATCTCATATGCACAACAGAATGAAACACTATCCAGTGCTGCACCATCTCATAATTGTTATGTTTGAGCTCATTGTTGCTGCCACTATGTTAATCCATCTCATTGGGGATCTTCCTCTTTTTCACTGACCCTCCACTTTAGTAAGCATGGTGTCCTTCTCCAAGAACTACCCTCTCCTGACAACATGTCCAAAGTATGAGAGACGAAGTTTCGCCATCCTAGCTTCTAAGGGACATTCTGGCTGTACTTACTCCAAGACAGATTTGTTTGTTTTTCTGGCAGTCCATGGTATTTTCAATTTTCTTTGCCAACATCATAATTCAAAAACATTGAGTCTTCTGTGGTTTTCTTTATTCATTGTCCAGTTTACACTTGAGACTACAGTAAATACCATGTCTTGGATCAGGTTCACCTTAGACCTCAAATTGACATCTTTGCTCTTTAACTTTTTAAAGAGGTCTTTTGCAACAACTAATGCAATCAGTTGATTCTTGACTGTTGTTTCCATGAGTGTTAGTTGTGGATCCACGCAAAATAAAATCTGTGACAACTTCAAGCTTTTCTCCATTTATCGTGATGTTATTTATTGGTTCCATTGTGAGGATTTTCATTTTCTTCCCATTGACGATGTAAATCCATACTGCAGGGTGGATTATCTTTGGTCTTCATCAGTATTTCAAGTCCTATTTGCTTCTAAGTAAGCAGGGTTGTGTCATTTGCATTTCACAGGCTGTTAATGAATCTTCCTCCAATCCTGATGCCAAGTTCTTCATATAATCAAGCTTCTCAGAATATTTGCTCAACATACAGATTGAATAAGTGTGGTAAAAGGATAAAACCATGGTGTACACCTTTCCTTAAACTGTTCTGTATCCTATTTTTCTGTTCAAATGACTACTGCTTGGTCTATGTATAGATTCCTCATAAGCACAATTAAGTTCACAATTCATTATTTGCAATGTTAAGATTTTTTTTTTTTTGTTATGATTTACACAGTCAAAAAGCCTTTGCCTTGTCAATAAAGCACAGGTAAACATCTTTCTGGTATTCTTTACTTTCAGCCAAGACCCAGCTGACATCAATAATGACAGCCCTAGTTTGGTGTCCTCTTCTGAGTCTGGCTTGAATTCCTGGCAGCTCCCTGTCAATGAACTACTGCAACTATTTTTGAAATATCTTCAGCGAAATTATACTTGTATGTGATATTAATGATATTGGTTAATGATTTCCACATTCCATTGGGTCACCTTTCTTTGGAACGGGCACAGATATGGAACTATTCTAATCAGTGGACTAGGTAATGGTCTTCCAAATTTCTTGTCAGAGACAAGTGAGTGATTTCAGCGCTGCATCAGCTTGTTGAAACATTTCCATTTGTATTTCATCATTAATTCCTGGACCCTTGGTTTTCACCAGTGCCTTCAGTGCTGCTTGGACCTCTTTCCTCAATATCATTGATTTTTTTATCATATGCTACCTCTTGAAATGGTTGCACATTGGCCAATTCTTTTTGATACAGTGACTATTTCTTCCATCTCTTTTGATGCTTTCTGTGTCATTCAATATTTTGCGTATAGAATCTTTCCATACTGCAACCCGAATTTGAATTTTTTTCTTCAGTTCTTTCAGCTTGAAAAGTTCTAAAAGTGTTTTTTCTTTTTGGTTTTCCACATTTCATTATAATACCTGACCTTTTGAGCTTCTCTTTGGCATTTTCTGTTCGGTTCTTTTACTTCATTTCTTCCAGTTGCTTATGCTTTTCTATATTCAAGAGCAAATTTCAGAGTCTCTTCTGATATTTTTTTTCCCTTTTCTGTTTTTTCAATGATCTTTTGTTTTCTTCATAGATCATGTACATGTCATCCCACAACTCCTCTAGTCTTCAGTCATTATCATATAATGCATCAAATCTGTTCTTAAGATGCTCTCTAAATTCAGGTAGGATATACTCAAGGTCATATTTTGCCTCTTGTGGAGTTGTTTTAAATTTCTTCAGCTTCAGATTGAACTTGCGTATGAGCAACTGATGGTCTGTTCCATAGTTGGCCCTGGCCTTATTTTGGATGATGATATTGAGATTTTACACTGCTTTTATTCCACAGATGTAGTCAATTTGATTCTTGTGTTTTCCATCTGGTGAGGTCAATGCATATAGTCACCTTTTATGCTGTTTAAAAAAGGTATTTGCACAATGAACAATTCATTGGTCTTACAAAGTTGATTAATTTCAAACTGAAGAAGTTCGGAAAAAATGTCAGTCTTCATCATTGTCTTTATTGGTTGGTGCATAAATTTGAATAATAGTGGTATTAACTGGTCTTTCTTGTAGAGGTGTATGTATATTATCCTATCACAGACAGCACTGTACTTCAAGAAAGGTCTTGGAATGCTATTTGATAAATGTGACATCATTTCAGCTCACTAATGCCTAGAATTTCAATCCATGCATTGTACTTCATTGTTGACAACTTCCAATTTTCCTAGTTCATACTTCATACATTCCACAGTTCTATTATTATTGGATGTTTGTAGCTGTTTCTTCTCATTTTGAGTTGTACCCTGTCAGCAAATGAAGGTTTTGAAGGCTTTGTTTCATTCACATCATTAAAATTCATCTTTACTGTGAGCGGTAGCTCTTTCCTAGTTGTATTTTGAGGGCCTTCCCACCTGGCTCTATAGCTGACAATTGTTAAGTGCTGTTGAGTCAGTTCTGACCCATAATGACCCTATATAGGGTTTCCGAGGAAGAGCTGGTGACCTTGAACTGCTGACCTTGCAGTTCAAATGGTTTTGCAGTCTGGTGCATTAACCCACAGCACCACACCAGGTCTCCATATCTGACGATGTTCGACTGCTATTTATTAGGTTTTCAGTGGCTAGTGGTCCACCTCTTCTTCTTCATAGTCTGGGAGGTCCACTGAAATCTGTCCACCATGGTGATTATGCTGGTATTTGTGGGGTTGTGGGTTAATGCACTGGACTGCAAAGTTGGTTTGAACCACAAGGTTGGCGGTTCAACTTCACCAGCCGCTCCTCAGAAACCCTACATAGGGTCGCAACCAACTCGACGACACTTAACAGCAATAACAGCAGCATAGCTTCCAGCATCCCAGCAACACATAAGCCACCACAGTATGAGAAAGTGACAGACAAGTGGTGACTGTTACTTTTACAGAAACAGATTGCCAGGTCTTCTCTCCTGTGAAATGTCTGGGGCTTTGGACTGTTGCCCATTTCATAAGCAGCTGAGTACTTAACTATTTAGCCACCAGGGCTAGAAACATCAAATTCTGCTGCCCATTTTAGAAACTCACTTTAGAATATAGATTTATTTGGTTCTGCCCAAGTTTACCACCTTTTGGCTCATGGAGAAGTCATCTGGAGCTAATAACTCATATAGCAATTACTGTCCACAGAATTTACTATGCAATTAATTGTTAAGTAGTGACAGGAAAGTGTCCCAGAGCCCTAAAAAATTGATGAATAAAATCAACACATGATTGTAGGGGCAAATGTTTCATAGGTTGAAAATTGGTATATAGGATAATCCAGGATTTTCAGTAGAGAAATAAATGGTCAGAGATCCATGTGTGTGGGGGCTATCAGAATAATTTTATTTTTTTTAAAAGATCATACAGTAAAGTTGATTTTTTGGTATATAGTTCTATGACTTGTAACCCATCCACTCTTAATTGATATAAATAAGTCAACAGGGTTCTTCTTGGTGTAAGATAATTTGAGATTTTGAGAGAATCCAAGGCATATGGGGGTTTTATTCATGCCAAATTTCTTTTAGCTACCTTTATTAAAGCCAGGTTTCCTATGTGATTTTAATGAAATTAAACTTGAACAGCTAAAAAAGATCTGATTAATTACATTCAGTTTAAATGATCTTTGCTGGTATGACCCTTAGATGGAATTAAAGTTGCAGTGGGCTGGTGGTTAGATTTCCCTGACCTGTTAGTTTCTGTGTACTGGCTAATTAGTTAATTTTTTTTATTCACTAAACTTGGCTTTTGGTACATTTTGCCCACCTAGTCTGTGAAGCTTAGCAACTTCCATAATGAAGGAAAGCAGCAATGTGTGTCAGTGTATGGTGCTGGGATCAAGGTATAAAGACAAACAAAAATCAAGAGACAAATATTCAACTGACGTATGTAGGAAGCACTTTGAGTGCAAAGAATACTACAGCTTTCTATGAGTAAGAAGTCTCTTGTCTATCTCTTGGAGCCTAGCACAGTGCTTAATAAAAAAAATACATGGCCGCTGAGTCAATGCCAACTCACAGTGACCAATGTTTAACCCACTGTGCCACCAGGGCACCTGGTACAGTGTTTAATAGACACTTCATAAGTTTTTGTTACATGTTGAATAAAATCATGTTTTCTGTTAATAAGGAGTGGATTATTTGATTTCATGATGTCCTGTGATAGGTGCTACAAGCAGTATGTACAAAGCATGTCAGCTCGAGGGTGTTGGGTATGTGGTGCATGTGTAAACAGTAAAAGTCTGGGGGGAGTCCTGAAGGTCAGTAAGGAATTAGGGTGATGGGGGGATGGGATAAGCTGTTCCAAGAAAAGGTACTGAGGGCAAGAAGAAGAACAAAATTTCCCAGAACTTAAGAACCTATGCACTTGTGCAAATTTCTGGAGCAGAGTACTGGGGAGACCCAAGAGGTATGGGCCAGAAAGGAAAAACCATCAAGGGACTTGCCTGCCATGCTGAATTTGGCCTCATATGCTCTTGGGAATTTTTGAAATATTTAAACTGTGTGGCGAGCTCTAGGAAGGAAGTAGTGTACTGATGTGACACTGCTTTAGCCAGAATCCCTTTCAGATCTGAAGCCAGGCAACTGGAGGGGAAGCCTCACGGTAGGGATGAGAGTGGGCCGGGAAAGGAAAGGAAGGGAAGTGTTGCCTTTTGAGGGTCTCCTATTTCTGCAGCAACTAAGTTATTCTCACTGTCAACACTGGCGTTTGAAAACTTCATATTACAAAGGGGAAAGAAGGCTTACTAGCTACTATTTTAGAAGTAGCCAAGGTCAGATGATTGCTTTAATCTGTGCTTTCTTACTCTCCTACTTATAGCATTTTTATGATCTGCCCATTACAGGGGGTAGTTTAAAATAATTTAGTTATGAGGCAAGGAAAAACTATTGTATGTTTTCCCTTCAATTTTCCCCAACATTCCAGCTGCAAAAGTTGGTTTATAGTCTTCTTATGCTAACATTCCAGATGCAAAAGTTGGTTTATAGTCTCCTTACATACCTCTCGCCAGCAGTAGCATTTAGTTTTTCTATGTGAGTGGAATGTGTGAAAACACACACATTCAACATAAAGACATGGTTCCTCTTTCAGAGGTTTAAAACAATTGTGGGGGGCCATAAATACACTTCTTTCACCACCTTGGGCTATCCACCAATGATAGCAGTGAGGTTACTGATCTTGTTTATAGAGCTGCAGCTGGGAACCTCTCTCAGGGAATGCCACTACATAGGAATAACAGAATTAATGGCTTGCAGCTGTTTGGCAATTCAGGCTAATCCTGGACAGAACCATGACTCTCTTCTTTCCTATTTAGGAAAGACAGCAATTATAAGCAAACATTAAGTCCTCCAAGATTCTCATATTTTTGAGGAGTATTTATAGTATGTGCATGTAGAGTATGAGAAGGAAGAGAGAGAGGGAAAAAGGAGTAAATAAATATGGAAAGGGGTATAGTAATATCTACTGGTTAGAATGTTGTGATCTTGGGTGAGGAACAATTTTCAGTATGCTTTATCCTATAAAAAGCAATTATATAAAATTTTCAGTTATTTGGGTGAATTATAATTATGTCTTCATATGACTTAGTTTTTAATAATCTAATAGTAATAATGAGACCTCACCCTTTTTCAGATTTAGAAACCTGCTGCCTTTAAACCAATCTTACCTGGAACACCGCCAACAAACACAGGCTCCCTGTGATCAACTGGTTTTGGATTCAAGGGTCCAACCACATGGTTCACTTCAGAATCTACATCCAACTGAACCACATTTGAATCTCTAATAACTGAAATACAAGGTGAAGACTGAGTATAAGTGGCACTTGAGTAATTAATTTTCACATGAAGGACATTAACAGTAAGGATGACTGTCTATTCCAGAATAACCCCCCACGTTTTCTTCTATATCAATAAAAGCAGTAAGTCTAACAAGCTAACTCTAATATTTTCTTTTGAAAGAGAGAATATTTAGAATATCCTTGTGCTACTTTTTGCTCCAGAAATTAAACATGATTTAAATAACTCCTCACCACTATTTTAACAGCATTCATATTTTCAAGCTATGGGTTCAATATGCAAACTCTACAATCTAGTAACATTTCCTTCTCGTTCTATCCTGGTTACTTCTAGACTGCAATCCATCACCTATTCTATCACATGACTTGCAGTCTGAGTTCTGCCAAGCCGTCATCCCACCTATGTAATGGAAGTCTGGGACCTCAGCTTTTCTTACCTGTAATTCTGTGCCATCTGCCATCACAGAGACTCTGCTTGGGGGTTACTGAGGTGGCGAAATCTCGGACACCATTGTTGACTTTTACTACGACCTTCAAAAAACAGGGTTTTATAGTATAATATAATGAATTCCCCCACATCCATGATCAAACTGAATTTCTTAAATAATTCACCACAGAGAAACAATACTTCAGAACACGGTTAGCTCTGCAATTTGAACACAAGAGGTCGCTCCTCGGTAGGCTATAGAAATAGTTTAAACAGTGCTCCTTGGAGGGAGAACAAAATTAGTAGTGGCACAGGTGAGAAGAGGGGAGAAAGGAACAATAAAAATTCTGAAGCTGGAGTACGTTACATAAAGCAGGTTAGGGTAATGGTAAAGAACGTGAGCTTTGGAGCTAGGCTGCCTGGATTATATCTCAGCTCTCCCACTTAGTTTACTCTGCCTCAGTTTTCTCTTTAGTAAAACAAAGTGTTGAAGGTACAATAGTAGCCACTTCATACTTATAGTACTTATCTCATAAAATCAATTGGTTAGATTAAATGAGTCAAACCATGTAAGGCATTTAGAATAGCACCTAACACTGTCTCAGGTGCTATTCTAACAGCACATACAGATTGTTGTTAAGTGCCATGCTGTCAAGTTGGTTCTGGCTCATAGCAACCCTTTAATGGGTTTCTGAGGAGCAGCTGGTGGGTTTGAAACACCGACCTTCTGGTTGGTTAGTAGTCCAGTGCTTATCCATGCCAGGATTTTGTATTATTTTATGATTTAATACAGTGTACTGGAACTGACTTGATGACACTTAAAACAATGACAATACACATATAGATTTATAGATGGATGGATAGATCTGTGTTGGTTTTGACAGCATAATTTTCACTTCCATTTGGTGAAAAAAATTCTCTCCCAATTGTTTTGTTAAAACCAGGACTTTGAACCAGTTCAATTAGTTCAACCCCTTGCTGAGCATTTGCATTTTCTGCCAGATATACTGCATCAGGATCTACAGCTTAACAAGAACCCCAGGAGATTCTTATGTATGCATAAGATGGGCTTCAAAAAATTCCTGGAAAAATTTTGAAGCCCTTGTGTATAAGGAGCCCTGGTAGCACAGTGGGTCACTTGTGGGGCTGCTAACCACAAGGTCAGCAGTTCAAATCTACCAGCCACTTTGTGGGATACAGATGAGTCTTTCTGCTTCTGTGAAGATTTATAGCCTCGGAAAGCCCAGGGTTACTATGAGTTAGAACGGACTCCAGGGTGGATACATCAGACTGTATGCATCAGAATCACCTGGGGATCTTGTTAAAATGTAGATTTTTAAATTTAGTTTATCTGAGGTGGAAATGCAAATTCTAGGCAGCAGGCCAAACTAGAATGAGCCGTCTTGAAGCCCTGGTTAAATCCACTGCCAATGAGTTGATTTTGACCCATAGTGACTCTATAGGACTGACTAGAACGGCTCCTTAGGGCTTCTCAGGCTGGTAGTCTTTACTGAAGCAGATTGCCTCATCTTTGTCCCTCAGAGGGGTTGGTGGGTTCAAACCATTGACCTTTCAGTAGCAGCCCACTGTTTAATCCACTGCACCAGTAGCATTTCTTGAAGTCCTGGTTTAAACTTTTTCATTATATTATTATCATTCATGATCTTTTCTATTTTGGTAGTTGTGCCTTCTGTTCACAGCTCTTTCTTTGTTCTAACAGAATCAAGTCAATTCCCAAATGCATGAGGCTTAATTGAAGTCTCCCTTTGTTTAAATTTCATATTCAAACTTGCTTTTTTCCATTAAGGAAAGATGGATAAGATATGTGAAATAAATTGACTTCAGATCTAGAATCCAACAAGGTCAGAGGAGACAGATTCTTAAAAAAACATTGTTTAAAGCCAATACCTGTCCATTTTTTATGTGAACATTTAGGTATTCCCCGTTGACACTGTGGCCGTGGACAAGGGTTCCGGAACTGCTTCTGGGACGTACTTCAAATGCAATCTCAAACTTCAATCCAATATTGAAAGATTCATCTGTGGACAGAAATACTGTCAGATCTCAAGAGCAGCAGCCTAAATTTTGCAACTATGATATGATTTTGTAATGATATACTTTAAAATCTGTTTTTGAAAGTTTGATGTATTTTTCAACAGCTCCATGGAAAGTGGCATTTTTCATGTCAGAAAATACTGTGGAAAGCTCTGTGGGGAATAAGATAACGAACACACTCCTCCTCTGTGTGTGGGTGAGGACAACACACTGACAATACATCATGTGCTCTGGGAGTTTGGGGAGGAAAAACTAATGCCAACTAGCAAGGCCATTTGATATTTCAAAAATGACAAGGAGGAAGGGCAATCTCTGTCTAAGAAGTAGTTTGAACACAGGTACAGAGACTGGGAAGTTTGGTGAGCACTGTCCAGGTCAGTGTGGTTGGATTGTGGCTGCAGCCACATCCAGATTGTGCTAATGCTGAAGTGTGGACACTTGGCTCTAATTGCAGTCATTGAGCAAGGGGGCTAATTTGAACAGATCCATATTTTAAAATAATTCTTCAACAATAACAACAACAACAACAAATTAACTGGCGCCAATTCTTCACAGACATTCAGATAAAGTGAGAATAGCAAAGGGAGTTAGGAGCTGCTATTGCTATGGTCCAAGAAAATGAATTCTTATTAAGAATAGCTAGCTGTGCTCACTCCAAAAGACACTGCAAACTTGGACATCTTCATAATGTTCACTTAATGCATCTCCTTATAAATCCATTTTTAATTTCCCCTGCTATTAGTAATGTTTCTGAGGTACATTGTGCAGGTTGCTCTACATCTGAAGGTGTCTAAGTTTTCAGTGCTTTTCTCTGTGAAATTCAAGAAAATCCTCCACAAATGGCTGCGGAATGTGAGTGTTTATGTTTTGGTAGGGATACAGACAGGAAAGTAAAGCCATGAACTAGACAATGAGAGGAAACATTACTTTTGGTTATTCTATTGGGCATGGTGAAAGTTTAATAAATTACAGTTTGCTGTGTTGTAATTTATTTATTTTTTCCCCTCAGGGATGTACAAAGTACCTAAGTGCCTTCCTCATACCTAATAGTTGATCTACACAAGATTTGTTGAGCTGGATTGGATGCTAATTGTGTGAGTCTTTCAGAATTTTATTTTTAGGCGTTGTTATGTTCCATTACTTGGCTTGGTGACTGGCATATAGTAGATATACAATAAAAACTTTGTTAAGCAAGAGAGTACTGGTTGAGAAAAATAAAAATATCTAAATAAAATTTCTGAAGGATAGTATTCCCTGCAGGCATGGCAGAGCTGGGACGGAGGTGGAGCTGGCCTTTACTTGGGATAATGAGTCTGCTAAGAGGGAGCAGAGCTAGACCAAGAAGACCAAGGTGGTCAGGAGATGATTTAGATTAAGCCACAAAGCAGCACAGGAAATTCTAAAAGAGCTAGGATGGAAGCCCTGGCCAGGGAATAGAACAGGGATGAAGACCAAGGGTGGTGCTTACGGAAACAGGTCAAGTTCTAGAGCCGAGTTATTTGGTTTTCTTAAATTTTAGTTGTTGGTCTGATATTTCCTTTAGCAAGGAAGTGTTTTGTGATTCATATTTTACAAAATTAGTCATGTTACCTAGAACCACATATCCTCCTTCTGTTGAAAAGTATGTTCCCATTTCCATTGGACCTTCAAAACAAGGAGTCACGCTAAAGGTCTGGGAAGCGGCAGTGATGGAGGCCCCATTGAGCTGGAGATTGCTGAGACAGCCACTGAAACTGTAGACTGAGTTAATCTGGGAGAAGAAGGAGGCACTTCTTAAAGCTGATGGTTTCAAAACAGATACAATAAAGAGAAGCAATATATCCTTAAATCCTGAGAGAAACTACAAAATTTGTTATCCTCCTATCGATCTGAGATTATTCATTTTAAAGGTAGTTTTTTGAAGCTGGAAATATAATATTTGATAATGTCAGCATGCAGTGATTAAATTATGTGATTTACTACACATACCATGATGAAATGACTTGCAACTGCAGGTATACATTTATGATGCTGTGTGCCATTGAGCTGATTCTGACTAATTGTTGTTAAATGCCATTGAGTTAGTTCTGACTCATAGCAACTCTGTATCAATTTTCAAGGATAGGCTGGTGAGTTTGAACCACCGACCTTGTGCTTAGCAAACAAGCGTTTATTTTACAGCACCTCACCATGACCAAGCCTGTAGGTGGAATCAAACCTCTAACCTCTTGTTTAGCAGCCAAGCATGTTAACCCTTTGCACCACCCAGAAAGGCAATACTTTTGATATGCCATATGCAGCCAAATTACTATTTAATTCTTGTCAGTTTTCTGATTTGTAAAATGAGGTCCTGGATTAAGCTTGAGAGGCCAATGACTCTACCTGCTGCTGCTCCCTGTTTTACCTGGATATTTTTCACAGCCCTTCCAGGAGCCACACCTCCCAAATAAATAGGACCCTTGATTTTCCAGGCAACTTCAGTTGGAGGCAGACTTTCTTCTAAGACTCGGAGACCATCAATTACCAATCGGCCACTGCTCTTCTCCCGTACAAATATCACCTGGGTGGAGAGAAGGAAAATAGTATATCCCAAAACATCCCAAGTTTGGGAGAAAGGTTGTGCTGCCTCTCCTTCAAACTCTGCTACTGTATTTCTGTGAGAAATTTACAGAAGAGTATTTAAAAAGGTGGTCCCTTTCCTGAAAGTCAGGAGTTTGTCTCGTTCTCCTCAACATAGTGACTATTCAATTTTTAGACTGTCCTCATTAATGCTGTTTTTGCTGTAAAGCATGTGTCTTTATTGTGGAACGCTTCCAGGCTGCCTTGTTTTATACACACAGGTGTTTTTTCCTCTTCACTCTACTTACATTGTTACGTATGCTGTTGTTAGTTGTTGCCAGGTGCCATTGAGTCGGCAACAACTCATAGCGAACCTATGCACAACAGAACGAAACACTGTTCGGTCTTGGGCCAACCTCACAATTGTTGCCATGTTTGAGTCCATTGATGCTGCCACCTTGCCAATCCATTCCGCTGGGGGTCTTCCTTTTTTTCTCTGACCCTCCACCTTACCAAACATTATATGCTTCTCCAGTGACTGGTCCCTCCTGACAATATGTCCAAGTATGAGAGACAAAGTTTGGCCATCCTGGCCTCCAAGGAGCACTCTGGCTGCACTTCTTCCAATACAGATCTCTTTGTTCTTTTGGCAGCCCATGGCACTTTCAATATTCTCCTCCAACACCATAACTCAAAAGCATCAATTCTTCTACGGTCTTCCTTATTCACTGTCCAGCTTTCACATGCATATGAGGCTATTGAAAATACCATGGCTTGAGTCAGGCGCACCTTAGTCTTTAAGCAGACATCTTTGCTCTTCAACACTTTAAAAAGGTCTTGTGCAGCAGATTTGCCTAATACAATACGTCCTTTGATTTCTTGACTGTTTCTTTCATGAGTGTTGATAGTTGATCCAAGAAGAATGAAGTCCTTGACAACTTTTTTCTGTTGATAAGAATGTTGTTTATTGGTCCAGTGGTGAGGATTTTTGTTTTCTTGACATTGAAATGCAATCCATACCAAAGGCTGTGGTCTTTGATTTTTATCAGTAAATGTTTTAAATCCTCTTCACTTTCAGCAAGCCAGGTTGTATCATTTGCATATCGCAGGTTGTTAATGAGTCTTCCTCCAATCCCGATGCCATGTTTTTCTTCATATAACCCAGTTTCTCGGATTATTTGTTCAGCGTACAGGTTGAATATGTATGGTGAAAGAATACAATCCTGTCACACACCTTTCTTAATTTTAAACCATTCAGTGTTCCCATGTTCTGTTCGAACAGCTGCCTCTTCGTCCATATACAGATTCCTCATGAGCACAATTAAGTGTTCCAGAATACTTGTACTTCGCAATGTTGTCCATAGCTTGTCATGATCCACACAATCGAAAGCCTTTGCATAGTCAATAGAGCACAGGTAAGCATCTTTCTGGAATTCTCTGCTTTCAGCCAAGATCCATCGGACATCAGCAATGATATCCCTTGTTCCACAGCCTCTTCTGTATCCAGCTTGTACATCTGGAAGTTCTCTGTCAATGTATGCTTGTAGCCATTTCTGTATTACCTTTAGTAAAACTTTACTCTCATGTGAGTTCAAAGATATTGTCTGATGATTTCTGCATTCCATTGGGTCACCTCTCTTTGGAATGGGCACAAATATGGGTCTCTTCCAATCAGCTGGCCAGATAGTTGTCTTCCAAATTTTTTGGCATAGATGAGTGAGTGCCTCCATTGCCACATCACTTTCCTGAAAGATTTCCATTTTGATTCCATCAGTTCCTGGTGCCTTGTTCTTTGCCAATTTCTTCAATGCACCTTGGACTTCTTCCTTCACTGTCATTGGTTCTTGATCATACAATACATCTTGAAATGGCTAAACATCAATCATTTCCTTTTGGTACAGTGACTCTATGTATTCCTTCCATCTTCTTTTGAATGGTATTATGAAAATGTATTAGAGAACTGATCCACATATTTTCTGATTTCTAGATGGAGTAATTTAAAGCTTCAGGCTTACTTTCTAAATATACTTTAATTTTTCCAGAGTTCTCCATGAGTCTCTTTGCAGCTGGTCCAGTCCACATGTTTCCCCACCTCTCATGAACTTATTGCAATTCATCATAATGCATCTTATGTTGCTTACTGTTGCCATTACATACCAGCAGGTTTGCATCAATATTTAATTATTGCTCCCATGGTTCCAGTCTTTCTGTTTGGATTAACTTTTCCCTTTGCATCTCTCCCACCTCATCCTACTGCTGTGCACTATAAGACACTCAGGAGTAGTTGCTGAACATTAAGAACCCATAGAGGTAATGGGGGTGGTAGGGCAGAGTCAAATGACAAATCATTAGAAAACAACCTTCAATCCATGTTGGCCACTGATCTTTTGGTTAAAATGAGTATAACCAGTCTATGTCTCATTTTAAATAGTATGCTTCATGATTTCTCTGAGGAATTAAGTTTAAATAGTTTGATACAGATCTTTGAGTGTACAGCAGTAGAATTTTAATACAGATGTTTCTAGCGAGACCAATTATGGGGTCCTAGAGTCAGTCTCTTTGACAAGGGGGAATGTTTGCTGTCTTCAACTTACATCATGCCACAATCCATCATTGTATTTCTCCTGGCTTCTAATCTTCAGTTTCTTGTGACCAACATTAAACATGAAGACCAAACGGCCATGGGCCAAGAACAGAGTCATGAAGTCATTCTCTTCTTGATCAGAGACATAGAAAATCATCCCATGGGAGGAGCGAGTTTTCAGACGAATGGAAAACTGAGATCTGGAAAATGAAAAGAAAAAGGTTACCATCTGTAAAACGAGACTGAGGATAATCTATAACTTCCTAGCATGATAGTGTATGTGAAAAATAAGTAGCCATTCATTTTATCCAAGCAGCATTTCTTCTAATAATCCCTTAGGACTATTAGGGAATATTGGAGAAGCATGGCTAGTTCAAAAAATTTTAATTCCTCCTCTACTTCCTTATACAGGAGTCCTGGTGTGGTGCTGTGGGTTAATGTGTTGGACTGCAAGGTCAGTTTGAACCACAAGGTCAGTGGTGAGCTTGAACCCACTCCTTGGAAATACTATGCAGGGTTGCTGTGAGTCGGAACTGACGCAATGGCAGTTAACAAACTTCCTTATATAACAGGAATTCGTTCCAAATTTAAAGAAGTACAGTTTCAGTTAAGGATCATATTGTGTCTGGCTTTGAATACATGGATGCAGGTAGTTCAGTAAAAATATGTATGTTATAGGAGCTTATTCATACTGGTGAGAAATTAATATGCATATAGAAAAACTATATGATTTCTGTACTATCAAAAACACAAATTCATTTTTTTCCTAGTAAAAATTAATTGATGGATGTTGTTGTCAAGTGCCAATGAGTTGGTTCCATCTCATAGTGACCCTGAGTAGGGTTTCTGAGGAACAACTGGTGAGTTTGAACCACTGACCCTGTGGTTCAAAAGATCTAATGGTCCTGTGCATTATCCCACAGTGCCACACCAGGACTCCAAATTTACATGTTTAAAACAGTCACCAGAGAGAACAGACATAAAAAAGCAACAACAACAACAACAAAAAACCCAAAAAAACTTTCTAGAAATTTAGCTCTAGGCTATAGAGAAGATTGTTAAGTGCTGTCCAGTTGGTTCTGACTCATAGTGACCATGTATAGAATTTCCAAGGAACGGTTAGTGAGTTTGAACCACCAACCTTAAAGTTCAAACAGACCTCTCAGTGCAGCGCATTAGCCCACAGCTCCACACCAGGACCAGGATAAGATACATTTGTTAAATTAACATCTAGTTTGATTAACTCTAAATTCTAAGAATACAACATACTGATTTGACAGGTTTGACAAGTAGTGAATTAGAAGGCACTGGTGGTGGTATGCGCTGTCGAGTTGGTTTTGACCCTGTATAGGGTTTCCAAGGACCAATTGAAGGGTTTGAACCACTGACCTTACAGTTATCAGTCCAGTGCTTATTCTATAGTCCCATGCCACTGTTATATGACTGTTTGAAAGACCTGCGTAAGTTCTATATAAAAATACTTGGGCACTAACACTAGAGAAAGACATTCTCAATGATATTAAGGTCTGTGAAATACTGGGAAAGGTGGGGGTTTGGGAGGAGCACAGACATACAAGAATATTCAATCTAATTGTTCAGATACATTCCTATTTAAAATCTGTAAACGACGTTTGTGGGGGAGGGCAGACGTTATCAAGGTTAAATGATAAATTATATGAAACCTGCCCCATGTTCCTAGCCTTGATTGTCTTTTGTTTTTGATATCACACAGCAAGCTCCTGGGAGAATGCTGTCTTATGTTCCTTACATTTGAGTAGAAAGCGACAGAGAAAATACTTGATTGGAAAACAAGAATCATGTACTTATTTAGTACTTATTTTTATGACAAAAGAACAAAGTAAGGTGATACAGAGAGGAAAGATCATAAGACAAAGATGGCATCTGGGAAAGAAGGCTGGAACTCAGCCACACATTAAGTTTCTAGAAGGTAGTGTGTTACTTTACTTTTCACCAAAGTCTCCTTTTAAGTGTTCAAACTCTTGGCGGCTGTTGGCGGTGCCTCCATACTGATATGCATGTTCTATTGCTCTAGGACCATTGGAAAGGTGGCAGTGAGAGTCTCTTGGTGTATTTTGCTCTTGGAATTTCAGGCCAACAGGATCCCAGGAAGGTGCATCCTTACTTTTCTCTCCCTATAAAAACAGTGAAGAATATATCATGTGAAGGGATGAAAGTCACATATTAGCAGCAAAAATTAATGTGTGATAGCTTTACCACTAAGACTAATAGAAATCATAATAAAAGTGTGTGTTAGTTGTGCCCTTTCCATTCATGAAACATTATCTTCCCTTTACCAACCACCACTGGCAGGTAACTGCTGCAGTTGTAGCAGTAACAACAACAGCAACAACCACATACACATTAATAAGCCCCAAATTCATGTCAGTGAGAGTAAAGCAGAGCTCAACGGAAGCTATTGTAGTAGCCAGTCCATCATTTTAATTAAGGGTACATCTTAAAGAAGAGTAAAAGAAAAGTTGGCATTAAAATAACCCTACCTTGCTGTATTTGACCTGATGACCAGCACTACAGTGCAAGTTTAAAGAAAAGAAATCTCTCAGAATAAAGCTTTTGGCATTAATATATGAAGGTGACAGTAAGATCCCATCAGAATCTCACAGTATCCTCTGAGAGTTGAACCTAGAGAAATCCTTCATAAAATCAATGAAATAGTCTCTCTGCCTCAGGTACTTTAAAAAAGTTTCCCATGTCAAACTCAGGAAAGGAATACTGAAAAACAGTTACATTTTGATTGTATGTGAACAAAATTATTTTATTAATGTGGATAAAGAAAGAGCATGTGAACAAAGGAGAATATTCATGAAGATATTTAAGAGTTGTCCACATTTGTTAGTGTTGTTGTTATTTAGTGCTGTCGAGTTGGTTCTGACTCATAGCAACCCTGTATAGGGTTTCCCAGGCTGTACATCTTTGCGGGAGCAGAAAGTCTCATCTTTCTCTAGCGGAACAGCTGGTGGACTCGAAATGCCAACACTGTGGTTCTCAGTCCAGTGCTTATTATATAGAGCCACTGTGCTCGTGCAGTCCATATAAGCTCAAATACACAGAGAAATGTTCAAGGTGTAAGGAGCCCTGGTGAGATACAGCAATTAAGTTCTTGACTATGAATTGAAGGGTTGAAACTCACCAGCTACTCTGTGGGAAAAAGATGTCCAGTTGACTTATGTAAAGATTACAGTCATAGAAATCCTAGGGGGCGCAGTTCTGTTCTGTCCTGTAGGATTGCTATGTGTAGGAGTTCACTCAACTACAAAGGCTATTTGGCTCAAGAGAAAATGGTCAGGGAAAGACCACCACAAGGGAGAAGCTGGTGGAGATTCTTCTCTCTTGCTGATGGCCCAGATGCCAGCCTTGAAAGGCAGCCAATTCTTCCTTTGAAAGATGCTCATCCTTACTAGCTGTCAAGGAAATGCAGATTAAAATCACAAGGAGATGGCATTAGATTGGCGAGATTCTAAGTACTTGATTCTGTTTGGTACAACTGTGTAGGGTAATTGATTTTTTCAAAAGATGTTTATGGACTGTACGTTGCCATTGCCTCAGTAATAAAAAATACATATTTCCTTTGGTCAAGCAATTCCAATTTTAGGAATCAGTCCTTCAGAAAAACTCACAAAGCTTGATAGAAACATGGCAGGTCATATTCATGGAAAATTTACTATCTGCCAGGCACTGTGCTAAGTGCATTTCATGCATTGACTCATTTCATTTCCATAACAACTATTTGATAGAGATCGTTAATGTTTACTGACACCTATTTTGTGCTAGGCATTGCTCTAGGTACTTAGGATACACCAGTGAACAAAACAAAGGGGCTTGGATTATAGCAGAGGAGACAGAAATAAATCGTAAGTAAATAATAAAGTATATAATAAATTAGAATTTGATAAGTGATTGCAAAACTGGACTCAAACATAACAATTGTGAAGATGCTGCAGGACTGGACAGTGTTTTGTTCTGTTATGCGTAGGGTTGCTATGAGTCTGAATCAACTCCATGGCACCTAGCAACAACAATGAAAAAAGAAAGAGAAAAGGTAGAAGAAGATCAGTAGTATTGGTGTAGAACAGAAGGCAGACTGACGTATTAAACACATGTTCAGGGTAGGCCTTATTCAGCTGGTGACATTCTTCTAGATTCCTAGAAGAAGGAAAAGAACTTGTTTGTGTGAATATTTGATGGAAGGTGTAGGCAGAAGAGCTCAAGTAAAAATTTGAGTAAACATAGAGACAGAGGTGGAGGAGAGGAACTCAGAAAGGTAAAGGGGCCCCAATCATATAGGATCTCTTATGATATTATGTGGAGTCTCTGGGTGGTCCAAACAGTTAAGTGCTCAAGTATTAATGGAAAAGTTGAAAGTTCAAGTCTCCTCAGCGGTACCTCAAAAGAGAATCCTAGAGATCTACTTCTGAAAAAGTTGACATTGAAAACCTTATAGAACAAAGATCTACTCTAGAACACATGGGGTTGCTTTGAGTTGATGTCCATTTGGTGGCAACGTGTGTGTGTGTGTGTGTGTGTGTGATATTGTAAGGACTTTTACTCGGAGTGCAGTAGGGAGTCATTTTAAGCAGAGGAGTGACATGGTACTTTCAGGATATGTTAAGTTGAGATGTTGAGAACAGACTATTGAGAAGCAAGATAGAGCCAGGGAGACCTTTTGGAAAGCTATTACAGTAGTTCAGATGTGAGATGATGGTGGCTTGGACCAGGGTAGATGCACCTGAGTGCATTGTTAAAGTTGAGCCACAAAGGTAGGTATACACTGAAAGAATGAGAAAAGACTAAAGGTTTCAATGGCCAGGAGGACAAAGAGTTTGAATACCGGGAGTAAATGATGAGAGAGAAATAATAGTTGGAGAATGGAATTTTAGAATTCAAGAGTTTGATGATGTAGCATGTGAGCGGTGAAGTAAAGCCTTCAAAATGACCAGAAACAAAAGTAAGATCAGGAACTTTAATAATTCCCATGAATGTGATAAAAGAAAGAGATTGTTATAGGAAAGTAAAGATATTAGAGAATTAATAGTATTAAAGATGATACATACATACATTGGTAAGTATAGAAGTATAATAAAAGTAGTTGGGAGTTTCAGTAAAAGCCCCTCCATACAGTTTCTTTGGGAACAAATGGATGTAACAAAGCTGGAAAACCTATGTATCTGATATTATAAGAATCCAATTTGTCATGTGTACGCAATTGCTAGCTGGAACCGATTCTCTAAGACAGCAGTGTCTAGAGCTGTGTGAATGGAAGGCGGAGCAATCGGGACACTGGTACAGCATTATCTTTTACCTTTTTATTCTGATTTGTTTTAGGCTTTGAGGAATTTTTTCCTTTTTTGTGAAGAAGAAACAATGGTGAAGATTCAATGGGACACTCATAAAGGGAAGTGTGAACCTTTTCAGAAAATCGCTGGAAATCTTCGACTTCCACATCTCTATCCAACCTATGTTTGTAACAGAAGAAGAAAGCTTTACAAATAGTGCTTAAAATTGCATGATGGAAACACTGGAAGTCAAAGAATTTATATAATTGTGTGTGTTGGGTTTTTATTTATCAACCATAATCTTAATGAGAACACCTTTAAATCATTATTCAATAAATCAATAATTATGTGCCTGGTACCAGCCCATTTGGACTGATGAATACCTTTTCCCTTACTGCATCCTCTAGGTTGACCACTGGGACAACCTCTGTGTTATCTGCATTTCCTTTTTTCCTTTTTTATTCTTTCAGGGAACCTCTATTGTCTTTCCTAAGGATCTAAATTAATTTATTTAAAGTCATGCATTAAATTAAGAAGACATTAAAAAACCTGTAACTAGAATTTTGGGATGCTACTATGGTACTATATCATTAATAGTAAGTACAAATATAATAGTACCCAATATTTATAGCTTGCTGTGCGCCAGATGCTGGGCAAGATGCTTTATGTGCATTATCTCACTTAATTCTCTTAAAAGCCTATGAGGCAGGCACAATTATTGTCTACATGTTACAGTTTAGGAATCATTAGCCAAGATCATTCAGAAATTAAAAGATGAAAACGCTGTACATGAATCCAAGTATGTCATTTGTCCAAGCACATGCATGCTGTAAACTATGATCCCCTAAATACAGATAAATTTCACTTCTAAGTTTTAGTCATGCATATATTTCCATTACTGACTTGATTTTCTTTCTCACTCATACAGATTTCAGAATAATAAAAAGTATACCTGGTAAAGTAGGCATTGCTTATACAACCAGTGAAGTTATTGTACTGAGGACTGATGGGTGAGCCACCGAAGTAGAACTTCTTTTCACTTGGTTGTGTCTGTTCCACTTTCCCTTTTATGGGACTCTTATTTCCAAACCTGCTTTTATCTACTGTCAGTTCATATCTGCAAAGAAAACAACTGCATCAGACACCACACTGCTAGCCTTTTACCTTAAGTTTTAATCTAGGTTTGGTAAGCAGGCTTTCTCACAGGCTTGAAATGGAATTCCTGGTAAACTAACAGCTATAGAGTTGTCATACTCATCATAAAACCCAAGATGAAATGACTGAATACTTTTACATGCAAAAAAGCCCCTCCAAACCATGAGTGGAATCAAAGCCCATAAAAGCAAGAATTTCTGAAAGTAGTTATTTGTATAATTTTTGTGTCTGTGTATACACCATCTCTGTCTGTCTGTTAAGTGCCATCAAGTCGGTTCCATCCCATAGTGACCCTGTATAGGGTTTCTGAGGAGCAGCTGGTAAGCTTGAACCACCGACCTTGCAGTTCAATTGGCTTTTCAGTCTGACACATTAACCCACAGCACCACACCAGGACTATTGTATACACCACAGTGATTATTTAGTGACATTTGTGGGAGATTATTTTCGATGTAAAGCACATTCATGGGTTTGATTCTTACTGGAAGTGAAGTCTAGAAAAACTCTATTAATGTTTCTTTTGCATTTGTGACATAGAATATCTGCACTGGGTACCAGAGAGTTTTTACTTATTCTAGAAAATGTTCTTATTATAATAAGAAATTTACTATTAGGTATTTTAGAGAGAAAGCTTTTAAAAATATTGCCAATAAAGGCAGCTTCTCCAAGTGTTAAATTTAAAATCTAAACTAAGTCAATATTTCCTGAGCTCCCTCCATGTAATTCATAGAACATATAGTCACTTCTCTCAAGGAGATTATAATCTATTATTTTACTGAAGAATTCCCCTCCCCAAATATTTATGTTAAGCAATTTTATAGTGATTTAATTTTTAATGTCTTGAAAATTAGTAGCAGTTTCTTTCAAAAGAAAGGAATCCCCCCATCCCTTTCACCATTAAACAACAACAACAACACTAGAATAGTAAAAGGATCCTTGGTGGCACAGTGGTTAAGCACTTGGCTGTTAACTGAAAGATTAACCATTAATACTCATCCTGCAGTTTTACAGTTTTGGCAATCTGCTCCTATAAACATTGTAGTTGTTGTTGGTATGTACTGTGGAGTTGGTTCCGACTCATAGCGACTCTGCATAAGGTTTCTGAGGTTGTAAATCTTTACGGGAGCAGAAAGCCTCATCTTTCTTCTGTGGAACAGCTGGTAGTTTGGAACTGCTGACCATGAGATTAGGAGCCCGATTTGTAACCACTACGCTACCAGAGCTCCTTCCTATAAAGATTACAGCCTAGAAAACTCTATGGGAAGTTGTACTCTGTAATATAGGTTTACTGTGAGTCAGAATGCACTTGAAACCACACAATAACAAGAAAAGTAATAGAAATAGCCTATTATTCATAAGGTCACTTGACAGAATCATACCCTACAAATAAAGGCAAATGGTGGAAAGAGTAGAAAATGAGTTGTACCTTGTGGGTGAGACAGAGGTAATGATAAAGTGGGGCAGCCCATCGTTGTACTGTTTATCTGCTGATTGGACTTTGATTCCCTTTACATCCATGATCACAGTACCATTATCCAGCGAAATGGAGAACATGTCTGACTGAAATGCAAGCACATGGGTTTCAGCCAGGAATCCAGGGATCCCAATGATTGACACACTTTCAACATTTACACAATGGTATTGCTTCCAGGAATGTATCTTTTATAAGAATTTTACTTGTAAAATAATTTCTATGAAGAATAAAAGAGCATGTCCTATCGCTTGTCTTGGTGTGGCCTATAAACTAGACACATGTTTCAATGAACAGATCCTGAGTTGAAAAGCTGTGGTGATTTTGCCATGCTAAGAGTTGTTGTGTCAGTCACAGTTTCCTTCCTAACTCAGGCATTTCTACTCAGTCCTCAGTCTCACTTTTGTAAATACAATATTTGGACTCCCCAGGGATGTAGCTGGCTGACTAGGTCAGGGTTAGTTTGCTAGTTTTGCTTTTTAAAGTGTTCACTATTTTCATTTACAGTGGCTGTTGTTAAGTGCCATTGAGTTGGTTGTGACTCATAGCAACCCTGTATGGGGTTTCAGAGGAACAGCTGGTAAGCTTGAACTACTGGACCTTGAAAAAAATAAGGCCAATGTTAAATCCCCTTTTTATGAATTTATTTTTTGTCTTAAAAAATGTTGACAAAGATGATAATATTGCTTCTATTTCCTTACATGGGTACCAACCTCTAAAACTGATCCTCAACACAGACTGCGTTCTGTGAACAGAAAGTTTGATTTGACTAACCATGGGTATCTGAAGCAGGTTTTGTGGTAAAAGTCCTACAAAGTATTTTGACTAAATTTCCACAGATGCCACTGACTTCAATTCAATTCAATAGAAAAGTGATATAAGCAATATGTATGAATAATGAAACCTGCTTTAATAAACTATACAGTAATGAACTTCCAGAGACAAATCAATTGGATCTTAGGGTCACCAAACCTCCTTCAGATCCTATTTTATTCTTGAAATAATGTATCTTGCTAAGTTGCGCTTGTGCTCTATTGAAGTCTAGACAAAAGAGCATGTTCTTTCTATTCTTTTATAAACTAAGACATACATGTTAGTTCTTAACACAGACCCACTGTTTCTGAAGCTCTTCAATGTCACGAACTCTGCTGGCAGTTTGGTGATGCATATAGATCTCTTCATTAACTAATATTTCAAGAAGTGCAAACCAAAATTTGTAGACTCATAAAGGAAATCATTCAATTACATAAAAAACATTAAAATACACTTTCAACACTTTAAAACAACAGTGATATAATAATGTGTATATTTCATATGAAGGCTTTCAATAACAAGACCTAGCAGCAGATCTAATAACCACTATAATTTAGAATAACAATGAGAAAAATGCTATTTTGAGATAACTACGACAATTGTAGCCGTTTCTGTATTACTTTTAGCAAAACTTTACTCGACTGAGATATCAAAGAGATTGTCCGATGATTTCCGCATTCTGTTGGGTCACCTCTCTTTGGAATGGGCATAAATATTGATCTCTTCCAATCAGTCGGCCAGATAGTTGTCTTCCAAATTTCTTGGCAGAGATGAGTGAGTGCCTC